ATCTGGAAGCCATCTCTTCTCTCTATAAAGACATCTATGAAGCCATCTCTTCTCTCTATAAAGACATCTATGAAGCCATCTCTTCTCTCTATAAAGACATCTATGAAGCCATCTCTTCTCTCTATAAAGACAACTATGAAGCCATCTCTTCTCTCTATAGAACATCTATGAAGCCATCTCTTCTCTCTATAAAGACATCTATGAAGCCATCTCTTCTCTCTATAAAAGACATCTATGAAAATATCTCTTCTCTCTATAAAAGACATCTGAAGCCATCTCTTCTCTATACAAATGGACATCTCTTCTCTAAAGACATCTGAAGCCATCTCTTCTCTCTATAAAGACATCTAGCCAAAAGCCATCTCTTCTCTCTATAAAGACATCTATGAAGCCATCTCTTCTCTCTATAAGGAGCATCTATGAAGCCATCTCTTCTCTCTATAAAGACATCTATGAAGCCATCTCTTCTCTCTATAAAGAACATCTAGTAAACCATCTCTTCTCTATAAAAGACAACTATGAAGCCATCTCTTCTCTCTATAAAGACATCTATGAAGCCATCTCTTTCTCTCTAAAGACATCTATGAAGCCATCTCTTCTCTATGACATCTGTAAACCATCTCTTCTCTCTATAAAGACAACTATGAAGCCATCTCTTCTCTCTATAAGAAGCCACATCTATGACCATCTCTTCTCTCTATAAAGACATCTATGAAGCCATCTCTTCTCTCTATAAAGACAACTATGAAGCCATCTCTTCTCTCTATAAGGACATCTATGAAGCCATCTCTTCTCTCTATAAAGACATCTATGAAGCCATCTCTTTCTCTATAAAAGACATCTAAAAAGCCATCTCTTCTCTCTATAAAGACACTATGAAGCCATCTCTTCTCTCTATAAAGCCATCTTTCTCTATAAAGACAACCATCTCTTCTCTCTATAAAGACATCTATGAAGCCATCTCTTCTCTCTATAAAGACATCTATGAAGCCATCTCTTCTCTCTATAAAGACAACTATAAGCCATCTCTTCTCTCTATAAAGACAACTATGAACATCTATGACAGCCATCTCTTCTCTCTATAAGAAAGACAACCATGAAGACAACTATCATCTCTTCTCTCTATAAGCCATCTCTTCATCTAGCAAACCATCTCTTCTCTCTATAAAGGAGCATCTATGAAGCCATCTCTTCTCTCTATAAGCATCTACATCTCTTCTCTCTATGAAGCCATCTCTTCTCTCTATAAAGACATCTAAAAGCCATCTCTTCTCTCTATAAAGACATCCATGAAGCCATCTCTTCTCTCTATAAAGACATCTCTCTCCTAGGAACATCTATGAAGCCATCTCTTCTCTCTATAAAAGCCACATCTATAAAAGCCATCTCTTCTCTCTATAAAGAAGACAACTATGAAACCATCTCTTCTCTCTATAAAGTCATCTATGAAGCCATCTCTTCTCTCTATAAAAGACAACTATCTGATCTCTTTATCTCTTCTCAACCATAAAGCCATCTCATCTATGAAGCCATCTCTTCTCTCTATAAAAGACATCTATGAAGCCATCTCTTCTCTCTATAAAGACATCTATGAAGCCATCTCTTCTCTCTATAAAGACATCCATGAAGCCATCTCTTCTCTCTATAAAGACATCTATGAAGCCATCTCTTCTCTCTCTATAAAGCATCTATGACATCTATGAAGCAACATCTCTTCTCTCTATAAAGACATCTATGAAGCCATCTCTTCTCTATAAGACATCTATGAAATCTCTCTTCTCTCTATAAAGACAACTATGAAGCCATCTCTTCTCTCTATAAAGACATCTATGAAGCCATCTCTTTCTCTCTATAAAGCCACATCTATATACAAGCCATCTTCTCTCTATAAAAGACATCTGTAAACCATATCTTCTCTCTATAAGAACATCTATGAAGCCATCTCTTCTCTCTATAAAGACATCTATGAAGCCATCTCTTCTCTCTATAAAGACATCTGTAAACCATCTCTTCTCTCTATAAAGACAACTATGACCATCTCTTCTCTCTATAAGACAACTATGAAGCCATCTCTTCTCTCTATAAAGACATCTATGAGCCATCTCTTCTCTCTATATAAACCATCTCTTCATCTCTAAAGACAACTGAAGCCATATCTTCTCTCTATAAAGGACATCTATGAAGCCATCTCTTCTCTCTATAAAGAGACAACTATGAAGCCATCTCTTCCTCTATAATCTCTTCTCATCTGTAAAGCCATCTCTTCTCTCTATAAAGGCATCTATGAAGCCATCTCTTCTCTCTCTATAAAGAACAACTATGACAACCAAGCCATCTCTTTCTCTCTATAAATACAACTATGAAGCCATCTCTTCTCTCTATAAAGAGCATCTATGAAGCCATCTCTTCTCTCTATAAAGACATCTATGAAGCCATCTATAAAGACATCTCTCTTCTCTCTATAAAGACAACTATGACCATCTCTTCTTCTCTATAAAGACAACTATGAAGCCATCTCTTCTCTCTATAAAGACATCTATGAAGCCATCTCTTCTCTCTATAAAGACATCTATAAAGCCATCTCTTCTCTCTATAATAGACATCTATGAACCATCTCTTCTCTCTATAAAGACATCTATGAAGCCATCTCTTCTCTCTATAAGAACATCTATGAAGCCATCTCTTCTCTCTATAAAGACATCTATGAATCCATCTCTTCTCTCTATAAAACATCTATGAAGCCATCTCTTCTCTCTATAAAACATCTATGAAGCCATCTCTTCACTCTATAAAGACATCCTATGAAGCCATCTCTTCTCTCTATAAAGACAACTATGAAGCCATCTCTTCTCTCTATAAAGACATCTATGAAGCCATCTCTTCTCTCCTATAAAAAGACATCTATAAAGACATCATCTCTTCTCTCTATAAAGACAATCTCTTCTCCATGTAAGCCATCACTTCTCTCTATAATAGACATCTGTAAAGCCATCTCTTCTCTCTATAAAAAGACATCTCTGTAAGCCATCTCTTCTCTCTGTAAAAGAAGACTTCTCTATAAAGAACAGAGACCATCTCTTTCTAAAGACTATAAAGCCATCTCTTCATCTAAAGACATCATGAGCCATTCTCTCTCTAAAGCAACTGTGAAGCCATCTCTTCTCTCTATAAGACATCCATAGGCCATCTCTTCTCTCTATAGGAACAACTATGAAGCCATCTCTTTATACTCTATAAAGAAGACATGAAGCCATCTCTTCTCTCTAAAAGGCAACTATGAAGCCCATATCCTTTCTCTATAAGGACAGCCATGAAGCCATCTCTTCTCTCTATAAGGACAACTATGAAGCCATCTCTTCTCTCTATAAGGAGCATCTATGAAGCCATCTCTTCTCTCTATAAAGACATCTGTAGAACCATCTCTTCTCTCTATAAAGACATCTATGAAGCCATCTCTTCTCTCTATAAAAGACATCTATGAAGCCATCTCTTCTCTCTATAAAGACATCTATGAAGCCATCTCTTCTCTCCTATAAAGGAACAACTATAAGCCATCTCTTCTCTCTATAAAAGACAACTATGAAGCCATCTCTTCTCTCTATATAAGAAAATCTACAAAGCCATCTCTTCTCTCTATAAGAGACAACTATGAAATATCTCTTCTCTCTATAAAAGACATCTAAACCATCTCTTCTCTCTATAAAGACATCTGGAACCATCTCTTCTCTCTATAAAGACATCTATAGAGCCATCTCTTCTCTCTAAAGACATCATGGAAGCCATCTCTTCTCTCTATAAAAAACTATGAAGCCATCTCTTCTCTCTAAAGACAACATCTATAAAGCCATCTCTTCTCTATAAGACATCTATAAAGACATCTCTTCTTCTCTTAAAGACATCTGTGAAGCCATCTCTTCTCTCATAAAGAGACATCTGTAGGCCATCTCTTTCTCTCTATAAGCATCTATGGAAGCCATCACTTCTCTCTATGAGGAAGCCATCTCTTCTCTCTATAAAGACATCTATGAAACCATCTCTTCTCTCTATAAAGACATCTATGAAGCCATCTCTTCTCTCTATAAGGAACATCCTGTGAAGCCATCTCTTCACTCTATAAAGACAACTATGAAGCCATCTCTTCTCTCTATAAAGACATCTGTGAACCCATCTCTTCTCTCTATAAAGACATCTATGAAGCCATCTCTTTCTCTCTATAAAGACATCTATGAAGCCATATCTTCTCTCTATATAGACATCTATGAAGCCATCTCTTCTCTCTATAAAGACATCTTCTATGAATCTCTTCACTCTATACTAGGGCAATAAAGACATCTATGAAGCCATCTCTCTCTCTAAAGACATCTATGACCATCTCTTCTCTTCTCTCTATCTGTCTAAAGGCATCTATGGTATCTCTTCTCTCTATAAGGACATCAACCATGAAGCTATCTCTTCTCTCTATAAATACATCTCTATCTATGAAGCCATCTCTTCTCTATAAAGACATCTATGAAGCCATCTCTTCTCTCTATAAAGGTATCTGTGAAGCCATCTCTTCTCTCTATAAAGTCATCTATGAAGCATCTCTTCTCTCTATAAATACAACATCTATGACCATCTCTTCTCTCTATAAAGACATCCATGAAGCCATCTCTTCTCTCTATAAAAGACATCTGAAAACTATCTCTTCTCTCTATAAAGACAACTGAAGCCATCTCTTCTCTCTATAAAGACATCTGTAAGGCTATCTCTTCTCTCTATAAAGGCATCTAGAAGCCATCTCTTCTCTCTATAAAGACATCTGAAGCCATCTCTTCTCTCTTCTCTCTATAAAAGACAACTATGAAGCCATCTCTTCTCTCTATAAAGACATCTATGAAACTATCTCTTCTCTCTATCTAAAGACAACTATGAAGCCATCTCTTCTCTCTATAAAGACATCCCCATGAAGCCATCTCTTCTCTATAAAGACATCTACAAATACATCTCTTCTCTCTATAATGGACATCTATGAGGCTATCTCTTCTCTCTATAAGACATCTATGAAGCCATCTCTTCTCTCTATAAAGAACATCTATGAAGTCATCTCTTCTCTCTATAAAGACATCTATGAAGCCATCTCTTCTCTCTATAAACAACTAGCAAGCCATCTCTTCTCTCTATAAGGAACAAGTATATGAAGCCATCTCTTCACTCTATAAAGACATCTATGAAGCCATCTCTTCTCTCTAAAAAGACAACCTAACCAGGCCATCTCTTCTCTCTATAAAGACATCTATAAACCATCTCTTCTCTCTATAAAGTCATCTATGAAGCCATCTCTTCTCTCTATAGACATCTATGAAGCCATCTCTTCTCTCTATAAAAGACATCTATGAACCATCTCTTCTCTCTATAAAGACAAGTATGAAGCCATCCTTCTCTCTATAAGACATCTATGAAGCCATCTCTTCTCTCTATATAAGACATCTGTGAAGCCATCTCTTCTCTCTATAAAGACATCTATGGAAGCCATCTCTTCTCTCTATAAAGACATCTAGAAGCCATCCCTTCTCTCTCTATAAGAACTATGAGCCATCTCTTCTCTTCTCTCTATGAAGCCATCTCTTCTCTCCATAAAAGACAACCAAAGCCATCTCTTCTCTGTATAAAGACAGCCATCTCTTCTCTATAGAGACAACTGTGAAGCCTATCTCTTCTCTTCTCTATAAGACAACTATGAAGCCATCTCTTCTCTCTATAAGGAACAGCTATGAAGCCATCTCTTCTCTCTATAAAGACATCTATGAAGCCATCTCTTCTCTCTATAAGAACAACTATGGAAAGCCATCTCTTCTCTCTATAAAGACATCCATGAAGCCATCTCTTCTCTCTATAAAGGGCAACTATGAAGCCATCTCTGCCTCTATAAAGACAACCATGAAGCCATCTCTTCTCTCTATAAAGACAACTATGAAACCATCTCTTCTCTCTATAAAAGACAACCAACAAAACCATCTCTTCTCTCTATAAAAGCAACTAAAGCCATCTCTTCTCTCTATAAAGACATCTATAAAGCATCTCTTCTCTCTAAAAAAGACATCTATAAGCCATCTCTTCTCTCTATAAAGACATCTATAAGCCATCTCTTCTCTCTATAAGAACATCTATGAAGCCATCTCTTCTCTCTATAAAAAGACATCTATGGAAGCCATCTCTTCTCTCTATAAAGACATCTATGAAACTATCTTCTCTCTAAAAGACATAAATCTCTTCTCTCTATGAAGACATCTCATCTCTTCTCTCTATAAAGCATCTATGAAGCCATCTCTTTCTCTATAAAGACATCTATGAAGCCATCTCTTCTCTCTATAAAGAACTAACTATGAAGCCATCTCTTCTCTCTAAAGACATCCATTCATCTCTTCCTATAAAGACATCTATGAAGCCATCTCTTCTCTCTATAAAGACATCTATGAAGCCATCTCTTCTCTCTATAAAGACATCTATGAAGCCATCTCTTCTCTCTATACATCTGGAGCCATCTATGCCATCTCTTCTCTATAAAAGCATCTCTCTTCTCTATAAAGACATCTATAGGCCATCTCTTCTCTCTATAAAGACATCTATGCAAGCCATCTCTTCTCTCTATAAAGGAAGCATCTATGAAACCATCTCTTCTCTCTATAAAGACAACTATGAAGCCATCTCTCTTCTCTCCTATAAGCCACAATATAAAGACAACTAAAGCCATCTCTCTTCTCTCTATAAAGAAAACTATGAAGCCATCTCTTCTCTCTCCATAAAAGACATCTATGAAGCCATCTCTTCTCTCTATAAAGAAGACATCTGTGAAGCCATCTCCTCTCTATAAAGACATCTATGAGCCATCTCTTCTCTCCTATAAAGAACATCTGAAGCCATCTCTTCTCTCTATAGGAACATCTAGCAAGCCATCTCTTCTCTCTATAAAGAGCATCTATGAGCCATCTCTTCTCTCTATAAGACATCTGAAGCCATCTCTTCTCTCTATAAAAGACATCTATAAACCATCTCTTCTCTCTATAAAGAGACATCTGTAACATCCATCTCTTCTCTCTATAAAGAGGCATCTATGAATCCCATCTCTTCTCTCTACATAAAACCCATCTCTTCTCTCTATAAAGACATCTGAAGGCATCTAAATGACACCATATCTTCTCTCTATATAGACATCATCTCTTCTCTCCTATACATCTGTAAACCATCTCTTCACTCTATGACTAGAAGCCATCTCTTCTCTCTAATAGACAGCATCTATGAAGCCATCTCTTCTCTCTATAAAGAAGACATCTATGAAGCCATCTCTTCTCTATAAATGCAACTATAAAAGTCTCTTCTCTCTATAAAGACATCTATGAAGCCATCTCTTCACTCTATAAAAGACAACCATGAAGCCATCTCTTCTCTCTATAAAGAACATCTAACAAACCATCTCTTCTCTCTATAAAGGACATCTATGAAGCCATCTCTTCTCTCTATAAAGAATCTCTTCAACTATAAAAGACATCTCTTCTCCTCCATAAGACAAAAGCCATCTCTATAAATCATCTATGAAGCCATCTCTTCTCTCCATAAAGACAACCAAAGCCATCTCTTCTCTATAGAACATCTGCAAACCATCTACTTCTCTCTATGTAAACCCTCTCTTCTCTCTATAAGACATCATAAGGCCTCTCTTCTCTCTATAAGAAGCAACTGTGAAGCCATCTCTTCTCCATAAAGACAACCATGAAGCCATCTCTTCTCTCTATAAAGGAACTGTCCTTGAAGCCATCTCTTCTCTCTATAAAGACATCTGTGAAGCCATCTCTTCTCTCTATATAGACATCTATGAAGCCATCTTCTCTCTATAAAGACAACTACAAGCCATCCTCTTCTCTCTATAAAGACAACTATGAAAGCCATCTCTTCTCTCTATAAAAGACATCTATGAAGCCATCTCTTCTCTATAAGAACATCCTGTATCCATCTCTTCTCTCCTTAAATACACATCTATAAAGCCATCTCTTCTCTCCATAAAGACATCTGAAGCCATCTCTTCTCTTCTAAAGACATCTATGAAGCCATCTCTTCTCTCCTATAGACATCTATGAAACCTCTCTTCTCTCTGTAAAGGAACATCCTATGAGGAAACCATCTCTTCCTCTATAAAGGACATCTATAAACCATCTCTCTTCTCTCTATAAAGACAACTATGAAGCCATCTCTTCTCTCTATAAAAGCATCTATGAAGCCATCTCTTCTCTCTATAAAGACATCTGTGTAAGCTATCTCTTCTCTCTATAAAGACATCTATAAAGCCCCTCTTCTCTATCTAAAGAAAACTGTGAAGCCATCTCTTCTCTCTATAAGGAACATCTATGAAACCATCTCTTCTCTCTATAAAGACATCCTGTAAGCCATCTCTTCTCTCTATAAAAGACATCTATGAAGCCATCTCTCTCTCTATAAAGACAACTATGAAGCCATCTCTTCTCTCTATAAGACATCTATGAAACCATCTCTTCCTCTATAAAAGACAACTAGGCCATCTCTTCTCTCTATAAAGACATCTGGAAGCCATCTCTTCTCTCTATAAAGACAACTGTAAGCCATCTCTTCTCTCTATAAAGACATCTATGAAGCCATCTCTTCTCTCTATAAAGACATCTATGGAAGCCATCTCTTTCTCTATAAAGACATCTGCGAAGCTATCTCTTCTCTCTATAAATAAAGATGACCATCTCTTCTCTCTATAAGGAGCAACCATGAAGCCATCTCTTCTCTCTATAAAGACATCTATGAAGCCATCTCTTCTCTCTATAAAGACATCATAAATATCTTTCTCTCTATAAAGACATCTATGAAGCCATCTCTTCTCTCTATAAAGACATCTGTAGGCCATCTCTTCTATTTATAAAGACATCTATGAAGCCATCTCTTCTCTCTATGAAGACATCTATGAAGCCATCTCTTCTCTCTATAAAACAACCATGAAGCCTATCTCTTCTCTCTATAAAAATACATCTATAAGGCCATCTCTTCTCTCTATAAGGAGCATCTATGAGCCATCTCTTCTCTCTATAAAGAACATCTATGGGCTATCTCTTCTCTCTATAAAGACATCTGAAGCCATCTCTTCTCTCTATAAGAGCAACCATGAAGCCATCTCTTATCCATAAAGACATCTGTAAGGCCATCTCTTCTCTCTATAAAGGACATCTATGAAGCCATCTCTTCTCCCTATCATCTCTTCTCTCTATAAAGTCCTTCAGCCATCTCTTCTCTCTATAAAAGACATCTGAAGCCATCTCTTCTCTCTATAAGGAACATCTATGAAGCCATCTCTTTTCTCTCTATAAAGGGCATCTATGAAGACATCTTCTCTCTAGAGTCGTCTATGAGGCATCTCTTCTCTCCATAAAGACATCCATGGGAAAGCCATCTCTTCTCTCTATAAAGGCAACTAAGACCATCTCTTCTCTCTATAAGAACAACCCCATGAAGCCATCTCTTCTCTCTATAAAGGAACATCCTGGAAAGCCATCTCTTCTCTCTAAAGACATCTATGAAACCATCTTCTCTCATCTCTTCCTTTCTCTATAAAGACAACCATGAAAGCCATCTCTTACTCTATATAAAGACAACTATGCCATCTCTTCTCTCTATAAAGACATCTATAAAGCCATCTCTTCTCTCTATAAAAGACATCTGTGAGCTATCTCTTCTCTCTATAAGGAGCATCTATAAGAGCCATCTCTTCTCTCTATGAGGGAACAACTATAGACATCTCTCATCTCTTCTCTATAAAGAACAACTAGCAAGCCATCTCTTCTCTCTCTAAACCCAACTATAAGCCATCTCTTCTCTCTATAAAAGAAAACTATAAAAGACAACCTATGAAGCCATCTCTTCTCCTCTATAGAACATCTATGAAGCCATCTCTTCTCTCTATAAAGACATCTATGAAGCTATCTCTTCTCTCTATAAAGACATCTATAAGCCATCTCTTCTCTTTTATAAAGACATCTATGAAGCCATCTCTTCTCTCTATAAGGAACATCTATGAAGCCATCTCTTCTCTCTATAAAGAGAACATCTATGAAGCCATCTCTTCTCTCTATAAGACATCATAAACCATCTCTTCTCTCTATAAAGGACATCTGTAGAAGACATCTTCTATATTCTCTCTCTAAAGGCTTAACTCCCTTAAAGACATCTCTCTTCTCTCTAAAAAGACATCTATGAAGCCATCTGCTTCTCTCTATAAATACCTCTATTAGGCCATCTTCTCTATATAAAGACATCCTTCAAAGCCATCTCTTTCTCTCTATAAAGACATCTATGAGCCATCTCTTCTCTCTATAAAGACATCTATAGAAGCATCTCTTCACTCTATAAAGGAGCAGCTATGAGCATCACTCTCCATAAGGGCATCTATAGGCCATCTCCTTCTCTCTATAAAGAACCATCTTAGAGGCATCTCTTCTCTCTATAGGAAGACAACTATGAAGCCATGTCTTCTCTCTGTATAGACATCTATGAACATCTATGGAACATCCCTCTGAAGCCATCTCTTCACTCTATAAGAACAACTATGGAAGCCATCTCTTCTCTCTATAAAGACATCTATGAAACCATCTCTTCTCTCTATAAAGACATCTATGAAGCCATCTCTTCTCTCTACTTAAGAACATCTGAGCCATCTCTTCTCTCTATAAGACATCTATGAAGCCATCTCTTCTCTCTATAAAGAAGACAACTATGAACTAATCTCTTCTCTCTATAAAAGTCATCTATGAAGCCATCTCTTCTCTCCCATAAAGGAACAACCATGAAACCATCTCTTCTCTGTATAAAAGACATCTTGGGAAATACATCTCTTCTCTCCTATATCTCTCTCTAAAAGACATCTATGAAGCTATCTCTTCTCTCTATAAAGAACAACTTATTAAACCATCTCTTCTCTCTATATAAAGCCATCTTCTCTCTATAAAACATCTATAGAGCCATCTCTTCTCTCTATAAAGACAACTATGAAGCCAGCCTCTTCTCTCTATAAGAACATCTTCATGAAGCCATCTCTTCTCTCTCAAAGACAACTAAAGCCATCTCATCTCTCTATAAGGAGCATCTCATTCTCTATAAGGACATCTATGATGCTATCTCTTCTCTCTATAAAACATCCTGTGAAGCCATCTCTTCTATTTATAAAAGACACATCTATGAAGCCATCTCTTCTCTCTATAAGACATCTGCCATCTCTTCTCTCTTATAAAAAGACATCTGTAAGGCTATCTCTTCTCTCTATAATATACATCTAATAAAGCCATCTCTTCTCTCTATAAAGACATCTGTAAAATGCATCTCTTCTCTCTATAAATCTCTTCTCTCTATAGGACATCTATGAAGCCATCTCTTCTCACTCAAAGACATCTGAAGCCATCTCTTATCTCTATAAAAGATCAACTATAAAGCCATCTCTGAAGCCATCTCTTCTCTCTATAAAGACATCTAGCAAGCTCCTATTTCTCTCCATAAGAACAAGACATCTCTATGGAAGACATCTATGAAGCCATCCCCTCTTCTCTATAAAGACATCTATGAAGCCATCTCTTCTCTCTATAATCTCTTCTCTCTATAAAAGAAGCCATCTCTTCTCTCTATAAAGACATCTGAAGCCATCTCAACTATAAAACCATCTCTTCTCTCTATAAAGCCATCTCTTCTCTATAAGGCATCCATCTCTTCTCTCTATCTATAAAAGACATCTGTAAGCCATCTCTTCTCCTCTATAAAAGACATCTATGAAGCCATCTCTTCTCTCTAAAGGACATCTGTAAACCATCTCTTCTCTTTATAAGGAGCAACTGTAAACCATCTCTTCTCTCTATCTATGAAAGCATCTCTTCTCTCTCATGTAATAAATACATCTATAAAGCCATCTCTTCTCTCTATAAACATCTATGAAGCCATCTCTCTATGAAAGAACAACCATGAGCTATCTCTCTTCTCTCTATAAAGACATCTGAAGCTATCTCTTCTCTCCCTAGACAAGGTCTCTTCTCTATAAACCATCTCTTCTCTCTTTTAAACTGTGAAGCCATCTCTTCCTATAAAGACAACCATCTCTTCTCTCTAAAAAGGAACAACTATGAAGCCATCTCTTCTCTCTCTAAAGACAACTATGAAGCTATCTCTTCTCCTAAAGGGCAACTATGGAAGTCATCTCTTCTCTCTATAAAACAACCCATGAAGCCATCTCTTCTCTCTATAAAGAACCTATTATGAGCCATCTCTTCTCTCTATAAAGGACTGCATCTATAAAGCCATCTCTCTTTCTATAAAGACAACTTTATGAATCCATCTCTTCTCTCTATAAAGACATCTAGGAGCCATCTCATCTATGACAAAGCCATCTCTTTCTTCTCTCCAAAGAACATCTGTGAAGCCATCTCTTTTCTCTATAGAACAGAACTTTCTTCTATGAAGGAAATCCTGAAGCCATCTCTTTATAGACATAAAATGCTATGAGCCATCTCTTCTCTCTATAAAAGGCATCTGCAAACCCATCTCTTCACTCTATAAAACATCTATGAAGCCATCCCTTCTCTAAAGAGACATATAGGCCATCTCTTCTCTCTATAAATACAACTATAAAGATCATCTCTTCTCTCTGCTTGAACATCTATAAATATCTCTTCTCTCTGTAGAGACAACTAGCAAAGAGCTATCTCTTTATATATAAGACATCTATGAAGCCATCTCTTCTCTCTATAAAGACAACTATGAAGCCATCTTCTTCTCTCCATAAGGAGACATCTGAAGCCATCTCTTCTCTCCTGGGAACATCTGTAAATGCATCTCTTTACTCCCTATAAGGCATCTGAGCCATCTCTTCTCTCTAAAGACATCTAAGAAGCATCTCTACTCTATAAAGAACCCAACTATGACCATCTCTTCTCTCTATGCAAAAGTCATCCTATGGAAGCCATCTCTTCTCCCATAAAGAACCAACCATGAAATACATCTCTTCTCTCTATAAAGACATCTGAAGCCACTATAAAAGACAACTGCCAGCCATCTCTTCTCTCTATAAAGACATCCTGTGACCATCTCTTCTCTCTATCCATCTCTTCTCTGCATAAATACAACTATAAAGTCCATCTTCTCTCTATATAAAGAACATCTATGAAGCCATCTCTTTCTCTATAAAGACATCCATGAAGCCATCTCTCTCTATAAAGACATCTATGAAGCCATCTCTTCTCTCTATATAAAGACATCTATGAGCCATCTCTTCTCTCTATAAAGACATCTATTAAGCCATCTCTTCTCTCTATAAAGAACATCTGTAAACCATCTCTTCTCTCTTTTAAAAGAAGACATCTATGAGCCATCTCTTCTCCATCTCTTCTCTCCATAAAAGAAATCTATTAAAGCCATCTCTTCTCTCATCTATAAGCCATCTCTTCTCTCTAAAGACATCAAGCCATCTCTTCTCTATAAAAGACATCTATGAAGCCGTATCTTCTCTCTATATAGACATCTATAAAGCCATCTCCATCCTCTATAAGAAGACATCTGTGAAGCCATCTCTTCACTCTATAAAGACAACTATGAAGCCATCTCTTCTCTCTATAAAAGACATCTATGAAGCCATCTCTTCTCTCTATAGGAACATCTGTAAGCCATCTCTTCTCTCTATAAAGACAACTATGAAGACATCCATCTCTCCTCTAAAGACATCTATGAAGACATCCTCTCATAAAAATCTGTAAACCATCTCTTCTCTCTATAAAGACAACTATGGAAGCCATCTCTTCTCTCTATATGAACATCTATAGGCATCTCTTCTCTCTATCTATGAACAATGACCATCTCTTCTCTCCATAAAGACACATCTGAAGCCATCTCTTCTCTCTATAAGACATCTTGGAAGCCATCTCTTCTCTCTAAGACTCTCTATAAAGACATCTATGAAGCCATCTCTTCTCTCTATAAAGACAACTATGAAGCCATCTCTTCTCTCTATAAAGACAGCCATCTCTTCTCTCTATAAAGACAAGCCATCTCTTCTCTCTATAAAGAAGACATCTATGAAATAAATCTCTTCTCCATAAAGGAGGAACATCTCTTCTTTCTCTATAAAGACATCCATGAAGCCATCTCTTCTCTCTATAAGAGACAACTATGAAGCCATCTCTTCTTCTCTATAAAGACATCTATGAAGCCATCTCTTCTCTCTATAAAGACATCTATGAAGCCATCTCTTCTCTCTATAAAGACATCTATGAAGCCATCTCTTCTCTCTATAAAGACATCTATGAAGCCATCTCTTCTCTATAAAAAGACCATCTCTTCTCTCTATAGAACATCTATGAATCCATCTCTTCTCTCTATAAAGACATCTATACAAGCCATCTCTTCTCTCTATAAAGACATCTATGAAGCCATCTCTTCTCTGCATAAAGACATCTATGAAGCCATATCTTCTCTCTATATAGACATCTATGAAGCCATCTCTTCTCTCTATAAAAGACATCTATGAAGCCATCTTCTCTCTATAAAGACAACTATGAAGCCATCTCTTCTCTCTATAAGACATCTGAAGCCATCCTCTTCTCTCTATAAAAGACATCTATAAAACCCATCTCTTCTCTCTATAAAGAACATCTAAAGCCATCTCTTCTCTATAAGACATCTATGCCATCTCTTCTCTCTATAAAGACATCTCTTCTCTCTCTATAAAGACATCCTTAGAGCCATCTCTTCTCTCCATAAAGACAACTATGAAGACATCTCTTCTCTCCCATAAAGACATCTATGAAGCCATCTCTTCTCTCTATAAAAGAGCATCTAGCAAACCATCTCTTCTCTCTATAGAAGACATCTATGAACCATCTCTTCTCTCTATAAGACATCTAAGACCATCTCTTCTCTCTATAAGGGCATCTATGACCATCTCTTCTCTCTATAAAGTCATCTATGAAGCCATCTCTTCCTCTATAAAGAACAACCATGAAGCCATCTCTTCTCTGTATAAAGACATCTAGGAAGCCATCTCTTCTATAAAGACATCTATAAAGACTTCTCTATAAGGAGAAGCCATCTCTTCTCTCTATATAGACATCTATGAAGCCATCTCTTCTCTCTATAAGAGCCATCAAACTATGAAGCCATCTCTTCTCTCTAAAAAAGACATCTATGAAGCCATCTCTTCTCTCTATAAAGACATCTATGAAGCCATCTCTTCTCTATAAATACAACTATAAGCCATCTCTTCTCTCTATAAAAGACATCTCTTCTCTCTATCTCTTCTCTATTTACTTCTATAAAGACATCTATGAAGCCATCTCTTCTATTTATAAAGACATCTATGAAGCCATCTCTTCTCTCTAAGAACATCTAGCAAACCATCTCTTCTCTCTATAAAGACATCAAAAGCCATCTCTTCTCTCTATAAAGACATCTATGAAGCCATCTCTTCTCTCTATAAAGACATCTATGACCATCTCTCCATAGAACAGCGAAGCCTCTATAAAAGACATCTATGATAAGCAACTATTTCTCTATAATGACATCTATGAAGCTATCTCTTCTCTCTATAAAAGACAACTATGAAATAATCTCTTTATACTCTATAAAACAACCATGAAGCCATCTCTTATCTCTATAAAGACATCTAGGAAGCCATCTCTTCTCTCTATAAAGGAGCAACCATGAAATATCTCTTCTCTCTATAAATACAACTATAAAGTCATCTCTTCTCTCTATACAAGCCATCTCTTCTCTCTAAAGACAACTAGCCATCTCTTCTTCTCTATAATCTATGAAGCCATCTAGGGAACAACTAAGCTATCTCTTCTCTCCATAAGACATCTATGAAGCCATCTCTTCTCTCTATAGAGACATCTATGAAGACATCTCTTCTCTAAAGACATCTAAAGACATCTTCTCTCTATATAGACAAGCCATCTCTTCTCTCTATAAAGACATCCTATGAACCATCTCTTCTCTCTATAAAAACAGACTAAGCCATCTCTTCTCTCTATAAAAGACATCATGAAGCCATCTCTTCTCTCTATATAGACATCTATGAAGCCATCTCTTTCTCTATAAAGGACATCTATAAAGCCATCTCTTCTCTCTATAAAGAAGCAACTATGAAACCATCCCTTTCTCTATAAAGACAACTATGACCCATCTCTTCTCTCTATAAGACATCTATGAAGCCATCTCTTCTCTCTATAAAGACATCTATGAAGCCATCTCTTCTCTCTCTATAAAAGAGACGTCATGAAGCCATCTCTTCTCTCTCTAGGAACATCTATGAAGCCATCTCTTTACTCTATAAAGGAGCATCTATGAGGCAATCTCTTCTCTCTATAAAGGACATCTATGCCATCTCTTCTCTCTATAAGGGCATCCATGAAGCCATCTCTTCTCTCTATAAAGCCATCTCTTCTCTCTATAAGGCATCTATGAAACCATCTCTTCTCTCTATAAAAGAAAACTATGAAGCCATATCCTCCATAAAGACATCCATGAAACCATCTCTTCTCTCTATAAAGACATCTATGAAGCCATCTCTTTCTCTATAAAGGAGCAGACATCTATAAAGCCATCTCCATCTCTCTCTATAAAGACATCTGAGCCATCTCTTCTCTCTATAAAGAACAACTATGAGCCATCTCTTCTCTCTATAAAGACATCTATGAAGCCATCTCTTCTCTCTATAAAGGAGACATCTATGAAGCCATCTCTTCTCTCTATAAGGAACATCTATAAAGCCATCTCTTCTCTCTATAAAAACATCCCTAGCAAAACCATCTCTTCTCTATAAAGACATCTATGAAGCCTCTCTCTCCTATAAAGACATCTATGAAGCCATCTCTTCTCTCTATAAAGACATCTATGAAGCCATCTTCTCTCTATAAAGACATCTATGAAACCATCTCTTTACTCTCTATAAAGACATCTATGAAACCATCTCTTCTCTCTATAAAGAGACATCTGTAAGCCATCTCTTCTCTCTATAAGGAGACATCTATGAAGCATCTCTTCACTCTATAAAAGAACATCTACAAAAGCCATCTCTTCTCTCCATAAAAGACATCTATAGAGCCATCTCTTCTCTCTATAAAGACAACTGAAGACATCTCTTTCTCTCTATAAAAGACATCTATGAAGCCATATCTTCTCTCTATAAGACATCTGTAAGCCATCTCCTCACTCTATAAAGACAATCTGAAGCCATCTCTTCTCTCTATATAGAACATCTGTAAAGCCATCTCTTCTCTCTATATAAAAGACATCTGTAAGCCATCTCTTCTCTCTATCTGTGGCTATCTCATCTATGAAATCCTATCATCTTCTCTCTAAAGACATCTATGAAGCCATCTCTTTCTCCATAAAGACATCTATGAAGCCATCTCTTCTCTCTATAAAGACAACTATGAAGCCATCTTCTCTCTATAAAGTCATCTGAAGCCATCTCTTCTCCTATAAAGACAACTATGAAGCCATCTCTTCTCTCTATATAAGACATCTGTAAGCCATCTCTTCTCTATAAAAGACATCTGTAGCCCATCTCTTCTCTCTATAAAGACAACTATGAAGCCATCTCTTCTCTCTATAAGGACAACTATCTAGGCCATCTCTTCTCTCTATAAAGACATCTATGAAGCCATCTCTTCTCTCTATAAGACATCCATGACCATCTCTTCTCTCTATAAAGACATCTATGAGCCATCTCTTCTCTCTATAAAGACATCTATGAAGCCATCTCTTTCTCTATAAAGAACATCTATGAAGCCATCTCTTCTCTCTATAAAGACATCTATGAAGCCATCTCTTCTCTCTATAAAGACATCTATGAAGCCATCTCTTCTCTCTATAAAGAACAACTATAGAGCCATCTCTTCTCTCTATAAAAAAAGAAGCCATCTATAGGCCATCTCTTCTCTCTATAAAAGACATCTATAAGCCATCTCTTTCTCTCTATAAAGACATCTATGAAGCCATCTCTTCTCTCTATAAAGACATCTATAAGCCATCTCTTCTCTCTATAAAGACATCTATGAAGCCATCTCTGACATTATCTCCTTCATTATATACTTCATCTATAAAGCCATCTCTTTCATTATCTCCTTCATCTGTAAACCATCTCTTTCATTATCTCCTTCATTATTTCCTTTATTATCTCCTTCATCTGTGAAGCCATTACTTTCATTATCACCTTCATTATCTGCTTCATCTATGAAACCACCATCTCTTTCATTATGTCCTTCATTATATCCTTCATTATATCCCTTCCTCTATGAAGCCATCTCTTCATAATCTCCTTCATCAACAAACCATCTCTTTCATTATCTCCTTCATTATATCGTTCATCTGAAGCCATCTCTTTCATTATGTTCTCTATAAATCCTTCCCTCTATGAAGCCATCTCTTTCATAATCTCCTTCATCTATGAAGCCATCTCTTCTCTCTATAATGTCATCTATGAAGCCATCTTCTATCTCCTCTATGAAGCCAGATCTCCTTCATCTATGAAGCCATCTCTTTCATTATATTCTTCATTATAATTATATCCATCTATGTAAGCCATCTCTTTTCTAGGCCATCTCTTCTCAAAAGACAACTATGAAGCCATCTCTTCTCTCCATAAAGACATCATACCATCTCTTCTCTCTATCCTTCATCTATGAAGCCATCTCTTCTCTCTATAATCTCCTTCATCTATGAAGCCATCTCTTCTCTCTATGACCTGTAAGAGCCATCTCTTCTCTCTATCATCTCTGAAGCCATCTTTCTCTTCTCCTATAAAGCCATAACAAGCCATCTCCTTTCATAAAGATTTCTCATTAATCCATCTCTTCTTCTCTATAAAGAGCATCTATGAAACCATCTCTTCATCTATAAAGCCATCTCTGAAGCCATCTCTTTATCCTCTATAAAAGTCTTCCTCTGTAAACCATCTCTTTTCTTAATCTAAAGACATCTATGAAGCCATGTCTTTCTCTCCATCATCTATGAGCCATCTCTTCTCTCATAATCTCATTCATCTATGAAGCCATCACTTCTCTCCTTCATACTTCTTCATCCACAACTGGACAAAATAAGCCATCTCTTCTCTCAATAAACACACAATCTATGAAGCCATCTCTTCCTCTCTATAAAACACACCCCATTTAAGCCATCTCTTCTCTCTATAAAGCGACAACTATGGTGTCATCTCTTCTCTCTATAAACGCAAGACATCGGCATTAAGCCATCTCTTCTCTCTATATAGTCAACAAAACAAACTATCTCTTCTCTCTATCAAAAGACATCTGCAAAACATTCTTCTCTCTGTGATAACATCTATGAAGCCATCTCTTCTCTTAAATAAAAGACATCTATGATTGCCATCTCTAAAAACTTCCTATAAGGAATTCTTCATCTATAAAAGCTCAGTTCAGAATTTGGATGTGGGCCATCTTCTCTCTATAATGGAACAACTATGAAGCCATCTCTTCTCTATAAATTCGCATAAAGTCTTCTCTCTCTATAAGAACATCTATGAAGCCATCTTCTTCTCTCTATAAAGACAACTATAGGCTATCTCTTCTCTATAAAGTCATCTCTGAAGCCATCTCTTCTCTCTATAAAGACATCTATGAAGCCATCTCTTCTCTCTATAAAGACATCTATGAAGCCATCTCTTCTCTCTATAAAGACATCTATGAAACCATCTCTTCATCTCTCTAATAAAGACAACTATGAAGCCATCTTCTCTTTATAAAGACATCCATGGAAGCCATCTCTTCTCTCTATAAAGACAACTATGAAGCCATCTCTTCTCTAAAACTATAAAGTCATCTCTTCTCTCTATAATGACATCTCATCTCTTCTCTATAAAGACATTTGTGAAAGCCATCTCTTCTCTCTATAAAGACAACCATGAGTTATCTCTTCTCTCTATAAAGACATCTATGAAGCCATCTCTTCTCTCTATAGGACATCTATGAAGCCATCTCTTCTCCTCTATAAAGACATCTATGAAGTCATCTCTTCTCTCTATAAATCTAAAGCCATCTTCTCTCTAAAGAGACAACTATGAAGCCATCTCTTCTCTCTATAAAGAACATCTAGGCCATCTCTTTCCTCTATAAAGACAACCATGAAGCCATCTCTTCTCTGTATAAAAGACATCTAAAGCCATCTCTTCTCTATATATAGACATCTCTGAAGCCATCTCTTCTCTCTATAAAAGACATCCATGAAGCCATCTCTTCTCTCTATATAGACACTATGAAGCCATCTCTTCTCTCTATAAAAGACATCCATGAGGCCATCTCTTCTCTCTATAAAAAGACAACTATGGAAGCCATCTCTTCTCTCTATAAAGACATCTGAAGCCATCTCTATCTCTATCTAGAGACAACTATCTGTAGGCCATCTCTTCTCTATATAAAGACATCTATGAAGCCATCTCTTCTCTCTATAAAGGACAACCATGAAGCCATCTCTTCTCTCTATAAAAGACAACTATAAGGCCATCTCTTCTCTCTATAAAAGACATCTATGAAGCCATCTCTTCTCTCTATAAAGACATCTATAAACTATCTCTTCTCTCTATAAAGACATCTATGGAAGCCATCTCTTCTCTTTATAAAAGACATCTATGAAGCCATCTCTTTCTCTCTATAAAGCCATCTCTTCCCTGAACCACCATAAGCCATCTCTTCTCTCTATAAGACATCTCTATCTCTTCTGAAGCTATCTCTTCTCTCTATAAAAGACAACCATGAAGCCATCTCTTCTCTCCTATAACATCTATGAAGCCATCTCTTCTCTCTATAAAGACAACTATGGCCATCTCTCTCTATAAAGACATCTATGAAGCCATCTCTTCTCTCTATAAGACATCTATGAAGCCACATCTCTCTCTATAAAGACAACCATGAAGCCATCTCTTCTCTCTATAAAGACAACTATGAAGCCATCTCTTCTCTCATAAAGACATCTTCTCTGTATAAAGCCATCTCTTCTCTATAATAGACATCTATGAAAGCCATCTTCTCTCTCTAAAAAAACATCTGTGAAGCCATCTCTTCTCTCTATAAAGACATCTGAAGCCATCTCTTCTCTCTATAAAGACATCCTATGAAGCCATCTCTTCTCTCTATAAAGACATCTATGAGCCATCTCTTCTCTCTATAAAGGATCCATACAAATATCTCTCTTCTCTATAAGGACATCTATGAAGCCATCTCTTCTCTCTATAAAGACATCTATGAAGCCATCTCTTCTCTCTATAAAGACATCTATAGGCTATCTCTTCTCTCTATAAAAAAAAGAAGACAAATGAAGCCATCTCTTCTCTCTATAAAAGAAAACTATGAAATATCTCTTCTCTCTAAAAAGACATCTGTAAAGCCATCTCTTCTCTCTATAAAAGACATCTATGAAGCCATCTCTTCTCTCTATAAAGACATCTTGAAGCCATCTCTTCTTCTATAAAGACATCTGAAGCCATCTCTTTCTCTCTAAAGACATCTATGAAGCCATCTCTTTCTCTATAAGGAACATTTATGAAGCCATCTCTTCACTCTATAAGGACATCTATGAAGCCATCTCTTCTCTCTATAAAGACATCTATGAAGCCATCTCTTCTCTCTATAAAAGACAATCTATGAGCCATCTCTTCTCTCCATAAAGACATCTATGAAGACATCTCTTCTCCATCATCTATCATCTTCCATAAGACATCTATGAAGCCATCTCTTCTCTCTATAAAGACATCTATGCCATCTTCTCTCTATAGGCCATCTCTTCTCTCTATAAGAAAGACATCTATGACCATCTCTTCTCTGCGAAGACATCTAAAGCCACATCTATGAAGCCATCTCTTCCTCTCTATAGCAACTATGAAGCCATCTCTTCTCTCCATAAAGACATCTCTTCTTCTCTCTATAGGAGACATCTATGAAGCCATCTCTTCTCTCTATAAGGGGAAGCCATATCTTCTCTCTATAAAGACATCGGCCATCTCTTCTCTCTATAAAAGACATCTATGAAGCCATCTCTTCTCTCTATAAATGGAACATCTATAATCATCTCTTCTCTCTATAAAAGACATCTATGAGCATCTCTTCTCTCTATAAAGAAAACTATAAACCATCTCTCTTCTCTCTATAAAGACATCTGTGAAGCCAATCTCTTCTCTCTATAAAGAAGACATCTATGAAACCATCTCTTCTCTCTATAAAGACATCCTCTGTAAGCCATCTCTTCTCTCTATAAAGACATCTATGAAGCCATCTCTTCTCTCTATAAAGACATCTGTAAACCATCTCTTTCTCTATAAATACATCTATAAAGTCATCTCTTCTCTCTATAAAGACAACTACAAACCATCTCTTCTCTCTATAAGAAGACATCTGTAAGCCATCTCTTCTCTATAGAATCTATGAAGCTATCTCTTCTCTCTATAAGGAACATCTATGAAGACAAAAACCATCTCTTCTCTCTATAAAGACATCTATGAAGCCATCTCTTCTCTCTATAAAGACAACTAAAATATCTCTTCTCTCTATAAAGACAACTGAAGCCATCTCTTCTCTCTATAAAGTCATCTGAAGCCATCTCTTCTCTATAAAGACAACCATAAACCATCTCTTCTCTCTATAAAGACATCTAGGAAGCCTTCACTCTATAAAGACAACTATAAAACCATCTCTTCTCTCCCATAAGGACATCTGAAGCCATCTCTTCTCTCTATAAAGACATCTATGAAGCCATCTCTTTCTCTATAAAGACATCTGTGAAGCCATATCTTCTTCTATATAGACATCTCTGACATCTCTTCTCTCTATAAACTTGTCCATGCAAGCCATCTCTTCACTCTCTATAAAGACAAAAAGCCATCCCTTCTCTCTATAAAAGACAACTGGGCCATCTCTTCTCTCTATCTAAAGCCACATCTATAAAGAAGCCATCTCTTCTCTCTATAAAGACAACTATAAAAGCCATCTCTTCTCTCTCTAAAGAACATCCTTGGCCATCTCTTCTCTCTATAAAAACCATCAAGCTATCTCTTCTCTCTATAAAGACATCTGAAGCCATCTCTTCTCTCTATAAGGACATCTATGAAGCCATCTCTTCTCTCTATAAAGACATCTATAAGCCATCTCTTCTCTCTATAAAGACATCTGTGAAGCCATCTCTTCTCTCTATAGACAACTATGAAGCCATCTCTTCTCTCTATAAAGTCATCTATGAAGCCATCTCTTCCTCTATAAAGACAACAAATGACCATCTCTTCTCTCTATAAGAGCATCTATGGAAGCCATCTTCTCTCTATAAAGACAACTATGAAGCCATCTCTTTCTCTCTATAAATACATCTATATCTCTTCTCTCTATAAAACTATAAAGCCATCTCTTCTCTCTATAAAAGACAACCATGAAGCCATCTCTTCTCTCTATGAAGCCATCTCTTCTCTCTATAAAGACAACTATGTATCTCTTCTCTCTATAAGACATCTATCATCTCTTCTCTCTATAAAACAGACATCTATAAAGACAACTATAAGCCATCTCTTCTCTCTATCATCTAAAGACAACTATGAAGCCATCTCTTCTCTCCATAGGGAGCATCTATGAAGCATCTCTCTCTTCTCTATAAAGGACATCTGTGAAGCCATATCTTTCTCCCCTATATAGACATCTATGAAGCCATCTCTTCTCTCTATAAAAGACATCTATGGCCATCTCTATATAAAGACAACTATGAAGCCATCCCTTCTCTCTATAAAGACATCCTTGAAGCCATCTCTTCTCTCTATAAAGACAACTAAAGCCATCTTCTTCTATAAATGCTGTATAAAGTCATCTCTTCTCTCATCTATGAAGCCAACTCTTTACTCTCTATAAAGACAACTATAAGCTATCTCTTCTCTATATAAAGATAATATCTAAACTATCTCTTCTCTCTATAAAGAACAACTATGAAGCCAACTCTCCATAAAGACATCTCATCTCTTCTCTCTATAAAAGCAACCATGAAGCCATCTCTTCTCCCTATAAGAACATCTATGGCCATCTCTTCTCTCTATAAAGACATCTGTGAAGCCATCTCTTCTCTCCTATAGGACATCCTGGAACTATCTCTTCTCTCTATAAAGTCATCTATGAAGCCATCTCTTCTCTCTATAAAAGACAACCATGAAGCCATCTCTTCTCTGTATAAAGACATCTAGGGAAGCCATCTCTTCTCTCTATAAAGACATCTATGAGCCATCTCTTCTCTCTATAAAGGCATCTATGAAGCCATCTCTTCTATAAAGACATCTATGAAGCCATCTCTTCTCTCAACTATAAACCATCCTTCTCTCTATAAAAGACAACTATAAATATCTCTTCTCTCTATAAAAGACATCTATGAAGCCATCTCTTCTCTCCATCTCTCTCTTCTCTCTATAAAGACATCTATGAAGCCATCTCTTCTCTCTGTAAAGACATCTATGAAGCCATCTCTTCTCTCTATAAGACATCTATGAAGCCATCTCTTCTCTCTATAAAGACAACTATGAAGCCATCTCTTTCTCTCTATAAAGGCAATCTGGAAGCCATCTCTTCTCTCCCTAAAGACAACTATAGAGCCATCTCTTCTCTCTATAAAGACATCTATGAAGCCATCTCTTCTCTATAAAGACAACTATGAAGCCATCTCTTCTCTCTATAAAAGCAACTCATAAAGCCATCTTCTCTCTATGAAGACATCTGCTGACCATCTCTTCTCTCTAAAAAGACATCTATGAAGCCATCTCTTCTCTCTATAAAGACATCTATGAAGCCATCTCCTTTCTCTAAAAGGGCAACCATAAAGCCATCTCTTCTCTCTATAAAAGGCAACTGTAAAGCCATCTTCTCTCTCTATAAGACATCTGAAGCCATCTTTTCTATAAAGACATCTATGAAGCCATCTCTTCTCTCTATAAAAAGAAAACTGTAAGCCATATCTTCTCTCTATAATGAACATCTATGAAGCCATCTCTTCTCTCTATGAAGACATCTATGAAGCCATCTCTTCTTCTCTATAAAGACAACTGTGAAGCCATCATCTATAAAGACATCTATGAAGCCATCTTTCTCTCTATAAAAGACATCTATGAAGCCATCTCTTCTCTCTAAAAACAAGACTATAAAGCCATCTCTTCTCTCTATAAAGACATCTATGAAGCCATCTCTTCTCTCTATAAAGACTGTCTTCTCCATGAGCATCTCTTCTTCTCTCCATAAGACATCTATGAAGCCATCTCTCTCTTCTCTATAAAAGACATCTATAAGCCATCACTTCTCTCTATATAGACATCTATGAAGCCATCTCTTCTCTCTATAAAAGACATCTAGAAGCCATCTCTTCTCTCTATAAAGACATCTATGAAGCCATCTCTTCTCTCTATAAAGTCATCTATGAAGCCATCTCTTCTCTCCATAAAAGACAACTGTAAAGCCATCTCTTCTCTCCATAAAAAGACATCTGGGAAGCCATCTCTTCTCTCTATAAAAGACAATGAAAGCCATCTCTCTCTCTATAAAGACATCTATGAAGCTATCTCTTCTCTCTATAAAGACATCTATGAAATTCCATCTTCTCTCTATAAAAAGACATCTATGAAGCCATCTCTTCTCTCTATAAAGAAAGAACATCTATGAAGCCATCTCTTCTCTCTATAAAGACATCTAGCAAGAGCCATCTCTTCTCTCTATAAGAACATCTATAAAGCCATCTCTTCTCTCTATAAATACATCTATAAAGCCATCTCTTCTCTCTATAAAGACATCTATGAAGCCATCTCTCTTCTCTCTATAAAAGACACATCAGAGCCATCTCTTCACTCTATAAAGAAGTCACTCTCCATAAGACATCCATCTCTTCTCTCTATAAAGACATCTGACCATCTCTTCTCTCTATAAAGACATCTATGAAAGCCATATCTTCTCTCTATATAGACATCCTGAAGCCATCTCTACTCTCTATAAAGACATCTATGAAGCCATCTCTTCTCTCTATAAAAGACATCTATGAAGCCATCTCTTCTCTCCATAAAGCCATCTCTTTCTCTAAAAGACATCAAAGCCATCTCTTCTCTGTATAAAGACAACTATAGTCATCTCTTTCTCTCTATAAAGACATCTATGAAGCCATCTCTTCTCTCTAAAGACAACCTGAAATGCTATCTCTTCTCTCTGTATAAAGACATCTTGGACATCTCTTCTCTATAAAGACAACTGAAGCCATCTCTTCTCTCCATAAAGACAACCATGAAGCCATCTCTTCTCTCTATAAAAGACATCTATATGCCATCTCTCTCTCTCTATAAGCCATCTCTACTCTCAACCATGAAGCCATCTCTTCTCTCTATAAAGACATCTAAAACCATCTCTTCTCTCCATAAAAGACAACAGCAAGCCATCTCTTCTCTATAAAGACATCTATCTCATCTCTTCTCTCTATAAAGACAACTATGAAGCCATCTCTTCTCTCTATAAAGACATCTGTAAACCATCTCTTCTCTCTATAAAGGAACAACTATGAAGCCATCTCTTCTCTCTATAAAAGACAACCATGGAATCCATCTCTTCTCTCCATAAAGACATCTATGAAAATATCTCTTCTCTCTATAAGAACATCCTATAAAACCAACAAGCCATCTTCTCTCTATAAGAGCATCTATGAAGCCATCTCTTCTCTCTATAAAGACAACCATGAAGCCATCTCTTCTCTCTATAAAGACAACTATGAAGCCATCTCTTCTCTCTATAAGACAACTATGAAGCCATCTCTTCTCTCTATAAATAGACATCTATGAAGCCATCTCTTCTCTCTATAAAGACATCTATGAAGCCATCTCTTCCTCTATAAAGACAACCATGAAGCCATCTCTTCTCTCTATAAAGAACCCAACTATAAGCCATCTCTTCTCTCTATAAGACATCTATGAAGCCATCTCTTCTCTCTATAAAGGCATCTGTAGCCATATCGGCACTCTCTATAAAAGACACCATGTAAGCCATCTCTTCCTCTCTATAAAGACAACTATGCCATCTCTTCTCTCTATAAGACATCTATGAAGCCATCTCTTCTCTCTATAACAGGACCAACTATAAAACATAAGCCATCTCTTCTCTCTATAAAGACAACCATAAGCCATCTCTTCTCTCTAAGAGCAACTATGGAAATAGCCATCTCTTCTCTATAAAGACATCTAAACCATCTCTTCTCTCTATAAAAGACAACTATAAAGCCATATCCTTTCTATAAAAGACAACCATGAAGCCATCTCTTCTCTCCATAAAGACATCTATGAAGCCATCTCTTCTCTCTATAAAAGACATCTATGAGCCATCTTCTCTATAAAGACATCTCATTCTCTCTATAAAAAGACAACTAGCAAAGCCATCTCTTTCTCTATAAAGACATCTGTAAACATCTCTTCTCTCTATAAGAACAAGCCATCTCTTCACTATAAAAGACAACTATAAACCATCTCTTCTCTCTATAAAGACATCTATGAAACCATCTCTTCTCTCTATAAAAGAGCATCTGTAAACCATCTCTTCTCTCTATAAAGACAACTAGCAAACCATCTTCTCTATAAAAGAAAACTCTGTAGCCATCTCTTCTCCCATATAAACACATCTATGAAGCCATCTCTTCTCTCCTATAAAAGACATCTATGAAGCCATCTCTTCTCTCTATAAAGACATCTAGCAAGCCATCTCTTCTCTCTATAAAAGACAACTATAAAGCCATCTCTTCTCTCTATAAGGGAGCATCTGTGAGCCATCTCTTTCTATAAAGACATCATAAACCATCTCTTCACTCTGAGACAACTATAAAGCCATCTCTTCTCCCATAAAGACATCAGCCATCTTCTCTCTATAAAGACATGTAGGCCATCTCTTCTCTCTATAGACATCTATGAAGCCATCTCTTCTCTCTATAAAGACATCTATGAAGCCATATCTCTTCACTCTATATAGACAACTTGAAGCCATCTCTTCTCTAATAAAGACATCTAGCAAAAGCCATCTCTTCTCTCTATAAAGACCTCTATGTAGGCCATCTTCTCTCTATAAGACATCCTATAAAGCCATCTCTTCTCTCTCTATAAAGACAACCAAACCATCTCTTCTCTCTGGGCAAAGCTACAACTATCTCTTCTCTCTATAAAGACATCTATGAAGCCATCTCTTCTCTATAAAGACATCTATGAAGCTATCTCTTCTCTCTATAGGGACATCTAATGAGCATCTCTTCTCTCTATAAGACATCTGAAGCCATCTCTTCTCTCTATAAAGGACATCTATGAAGCCATCTCTTCTCTCTATAAAGTCATCTCTAGAGCCATGTCTTCTTTCTTAAAGACATCTATGAAGCCATCTCTTCTCTATAAAAGACATCTGAAGCCATCTCTTCTCTCTGAGACAACTATCTCTTCTCTCTATAAGGACATCTATGAAGCCATCTCTTCTCTCTATAAGAACCTTTAAGCCATCTGTAAAAGACATCTGAAGCCATCTCTTCCTATAAGGACATCTGTAAAGCCATCTACTTCTCTCTATAAAAGACATCTAAGAAGCCATCTAACTCTCTATAAAAGACAACTGAAGCCATCTCTTCTCTCTATAAAGTCATCTATGAAGCCATCTCTCTTCTCTGTATAAAGACATCTAGGAAGCCATCTCTTCTCTGTATAAAGACAATCTTCTCTCTATAAGACAACAAGCCATCTCTTCTCTCTATAATGACATCTATAAGCTATCTCTTCTCTATAGAACAACCTATAAGCCATCTCTTCTCTCTAAAGACAACTATGAAGCCATCTCTTTCTCTATAAAAGTATCTGGAGCCATCTCTTCTCTCTATAAAGAACATCTATGAAGCCATCTCTTCTCTCTATAAAGGACCAACCATGAAGCCATCTCTTCTCTCTATAAAGGAAGCCATCTCTTCTCTCTATGGACAACCATCCTCTCTTCCTCTCTATAAAGACAACTATGAAGCCATCTCTTCTCTCCATAAAGGACATCTATGAAGCCATCTCTTCTCTCTATAAAGACATCTGTAGAGCTATCTCTTCTCTCTATATCTCTTTATAAGGACATCTATGAAAGCCATATGTTTCTCTATATAGACATCTGAAGCCCATCTCTTCTCTCTATAAAGACATCTGACTATCTCTTCTCTCTAGCAAACCATCTTCTCTCTATAAAAGACATCTATAAAGCCACAAGGAGCAACTATGAAGCCCATCCCTTCTCTATAAAGACATCTATGAAGCCATCTCTTCTCTCTATAAAGACAACCATAAACCCATCTCTTCTCTCTATAAAGACAACCACCATCTCTTCTCTCTATAAAGACAACTATCTCTTCTCTCTATAAAGTCTGTCTATGAAACCATCTCTTTCTTTCTCTATAAAAGACAACTATGAAGCTATATCCTTTCTCTATAAAAGACAACCATGAAGCCATCTCTTCTCTATAAGAAGACAACTGGGCCATCTCTTTCTCTCTATAAAGACATCCCTAACAAACCATCTCTTCTCTCTATAAAGACATCTATGAAGCCATCTCTTCTCCTATAAAAGACATCTATAGGCCATCTCTTCTCTCTATAAAGACATCTATGAAGCCATCTCTACTCTCTATAAAAGACATCTATGAAGCCATCTCTTCTCTATAAGAACATCTGTAAACCATCTCTTCTCTCCATAAAGACAACCATGAAGCCATCTCTTTTACTCTGTATAAAAGAACATCTGAGCCATCTCTTCTCTCTATAAAGACAACTGTAAGCCATCTCTTCTCTCTATAGAACCATCTATGGCTATCTCTTCTCTCTATAAAGACATCTATGAAGCCATCTCTTCTCCCTATAAAGACAACCAAAAGCCATCTCTTCTCTCCTATAAAGACATCTATGAAGCCATCTCTTCTCTCTATAAAGACAACTATAAAGCCATCTCTTCTCTCTATAAAGACATCTATGAAGCCATCTCTTCTCTCTATAAAAGACATCTGAAGGCATCTCTTCTCTCTATAAAGACATCTGAAGCCATCTCTTTACTCTATAAAGACAACTATGAAGACATCTCTTCTCTCTCCATAAAGACATCTCTTGAACCTCTCATCTCTTCTCTCTATAAAGACATCCTGAGCTTCATCTCTTCTCTCTATAAAAGACATCTATGGTTTATCTTCTTCTCTCTATAAGACATCTATGAAGCCATCTCTTCTCTTTATAAGACATCTATGAAGCTTTATCTCTTCTCTCTAAAGACATCATGAAGCCATCTCTTTCTCTCTATAAAGACATCTATGAAGCCATCTCTTCCTCTCTATAAAAGACATCTATGAAGTTTATCTCTCTCTCTATAAAGACATCTATGAAGCCATCTCTTCTCTCTAAAACATCTGTGAAGCCAGGAGCAACTCTATAAAGACATCTTCTCTTTCTATAATAGACATCTATGAAGCCATCTCTTCTCTCTATAAGACATCTATGAAGCCATCTCTTTCTCTATAAAGACAGACATCTCTTCTCTCAATAAGAAAAGAAGACAAGCCATCTCTTCTCTCTATAAAGCATCACCATCTCTTCTCTCTATAAATAGCTTTATAAAATCATCTTCTCTCTATAAAAGACATCTATAAACCATCTCTTCTCTCTATAAAGACCATCTATGAAAGCCATATCCTTTCTCTATAAAAGACATCTATAAACCATCTCTTCTCTCTATAAAGACATCTATGGAAGCCATCTCTCTCTCTATAAAGATCTCATCTATGACAACTAGCCATCTCTTCTCTCTATAAAGACATCCAAGCCATCTCTTCTCTCTATAAGACAACCATGAAGCCATCTCTTCTCTGTATAAAGACATCTGGGAAGCCATCTCTTCTCTATAAAGACATCTGAAGCCATCTCTTCTCTCTATAAAGACATCTATGGAAGCTATCTCTTCTCTCTATAAAACAACTATGCAAACCATCTCTCTCTATAAAAGACAACTATGAAGCCATCTCTTCTCTCTTAAAAGACATCTAGCAAGCCATCTCTTCTCTCTATAAAAGACATCTGAAGCCATCTCTTCTCTCTATAAAGACATCTATGAAGCCATCTCTTCTCTCTATAAAGACATCTATGAAGCCATCTCTTCTCTCTATAAAGACAATCTAAGACCATCTCTTCTCTCTATAAAAGACATCTATGAAGCCATCTCTTCTCTCTATAAAGACATCTATGAAGTTTCATCTCTTCTCTCTATAAAGACATCTATGAGCCATCTCTTCTCTCTATAAAGACAACTATAGCAAGAAGCCATCTCTTCTCTATATAAAGACATCTATGGAAGCCATCTCTTCTCTCTATAAAGATCTCTTCTCTCTACATGAAGCCATCTCTTCTCTCTATAAAGACATCTATGAAGCCATCCTTCTCTATAAAGACATCTATGTAGGCCATCTCTTCTCTATATAAAGACATCCCCTATAAAGCCATCTCTTCACTCTATAAAGACATCTATGAAGGCTATCTCTTCTCTATAAAGACATCTATGGAACCATCTCTTCTCTCTCTAAAAGACAACTATGAAGCCATCTCTTCTCTCTATAAAGGAACATCTATGAAGCCATCTCTTTCTCTCTAAGACAACTATAAAGACCATCTCTTCTCTCTATATAAAGACATCTATAAGCCATCTCTTCTCTCTATAAAGACAACTATGAAGCCATCTCTTCTCTCTATAAATACATCTATAAACCATCTCTTCTCTCTATAAAGACAACTGAAGCCAAATCCATTTCTTCTATAAAGACATCTATGTTTCAAGCCATCTCTTCTCTCTATAAAGACATCTATGTAGCCAGCCATCTCTTCTCTCTCATCTAAAGCTTTCACATCTGTAAAGACAACATCTTCTCTCTATAAAGACATCTATGAACCATCTCTTCTCTCATAAAGACATCTAGAAGCCATCTTCTCTATAAAGACAACTATCTCTTTCTCTCTATAAAGACATCTATGAAACCATCTCTTCTCTCTAAAGACATCTTGAGCCATCTCTTCTCTCTATAAAGACAATCCATGAAGCCATCTTCTCTCTATAAAGACATCTGAAGCCATCTTCTCTCTATAAAGACAGCTTCATCTCTTCTTCTATAAAGACATCATCTCTTCTCTCTATAAAGACATCTAAAACCATCTCTTCTCTCTATAAAGACATCTATGCCATCTCTCTCTCTTATAAAGACATCATCTCTTCTCTCTATAAAGACAACTATGAAGCCATCTCTTCTCTCTATAAAGACATCTATGGCTTCATCTTCTCTCTATAAAGACATCTATGAAGCCATCTCTTCTCTATAAAGACATCTATGAACCATCTCTTCTCTCTATATAGACATCTATGAAGCCATCTCTTCTCTCTATAAAGACATCTATGAAGCCATCTCTTCACTCTATAAAGACAACTATGAAGATCATCTCTTCTCTAAAAGACATCTATGAGACATCTCTATAAAGACAATCATGAAGCCATCTTCTCTCCCATAGTCCAAACATCTATAAAGCCATCTCTTCTCTCTATAAAGACATCTATGAAGCTATCTCTTCTCTCTATAAAGAGACATCCTTATAAAGCCATCTCTTCTCTCTATAAAGACATCTATGAAGCCATCTCTTCTCCCTATAAAGACATCTATAGCTTCACAACTATGAAGCCATCCCTTCTCTCTATAAAGACAACTATGAAGCCATCTCTTCTCTCTATAAAGTCATTTTATGAAGCCATCTTCTCCATAAAGACAAACCATGAACCTCTTCTCTGTATAAAGACATCTAGGAAGCCATCTCTTCTCTATAAAGACAACTATGAAGCCATCTCTTCTCTATAAAGACATCTATGAAGCTATCTCTTCTCTCTATGAAGACAACTATAAGCCATCTCTTCTCTCTATAAAGACAACCATGAGCCATCTCTTCTCTCTATAAAGACATCTAGAAGCCATCTCTTCTCCCTATAAAGACAACTATGAAGCCATCTTCTCTCTATAAAAGACATCTATGAAATCATCTCTTCTCTCTATAAAGACAACCATGAAGCCATCTCTTCTCTCTATAAAGACATCTATGAAGCCATCTCTTCTCTCCATAAAAAACATCCATGAAGCCATCTCTTCTCTCTATAAAGACATCTGAAGCCATCTCTTCTCTTATAAAGACAACTATGGCCATCCTTCTCATGAAGACATCTGAAGCCATCTTCTCTCTATAAAGACATCTATGAAGCATATCTTCTCTCTATAAAGCATCTATGAAGCCATCTCTTCTCTCTATAAAGACATCTATGAAGCCATCTTCACTCTCTAAAGACAAGCATGAAGCCATCTCTTCTCTCTATGACAAGACAACTTCTTAAAGACAAAAGTTTCATCTCTTCTCTCTATAAAGACAATCCATGAAGCCATCTCTTCTCTCTATAAATACAACTATAAGTCTTTCTTCTCTATAAAGACATCTATGAAGCTTCATCTCTTCTCTCTATAAAGACATCTATGAAGCTATCATCTCTTCCTATAAAAGACATCTATGAAGCCATCTCTTCTCTATAAAGAAAACTATGAAGCCATCTCTTCTCTTCCATAAAGACATCTATGGAAGCCATCTCTTCTCTCTATAAAGAACATCTATAAAAGCCATCTCTTTCTCTCTATATGAAGACATCTATGAAGCCATCTCTTCTCTCTATAAAGACATCTATGAAGCCTCTTCTCTCTATAAAAGACATCTCTTCTATAAAGACAACCATCTCTTCTCTCTATAAAGACAACTATGAAGCCATCTCTTCTCTCTATAAAGACATCTATGAAGCCATCTCTTCTCTCTATAAAAAAACATCTCTTCTCTCTCCATAGACATCTATGAAGCCATCTCTTCTCTCTATAAAGACAACTATAAAGCCATCTCTTCTCTCTCTATAAGACATCAACTATGCCATCTCTTCTCTCTATAAATGAAGCCACTGTCTAGGAGCAACCATGACCATCTCTTCTCTATAAAGACATCTATGAAGCCATCTCTTCCATAAAGACATCTAACCAAACCATCTCTTCTCTCTATAAAGCAACTATGAAGCCATCTCTTTTCTATAAAAGACACAACCATGACCATCTCTTCTCTCTATAAAGAACCTTCTTAAACCATCTCTTCTCTATAAAAGACAACCTATGAAGCCATCTCTTCTCTCTACTCCTAGGCAACTATGGAGCCATCTCTTCTCTATAAAAGACATCTATGAGCCATCTCTTCACTCTATAAAGACAACTATGAAGCCATCTCTTCTCTCTATAAAAGACATCTATGAAGCCATCTCTTCTCTCTCTATAAAGAAGACAACTATAGGCATCTCTTCTCTCTATAAAGACATCTATGAAGCCATCTCTTCTCTCCTGAAAAGACATCTGTAGGCCATCTTCTCTCTAAAAGACATCTATTAAACCATCTCTTCTCTCTATAAAGACATCTATGAAGCCATCTCTTCTCTCTATAAAGACATCTAGAGCCATCTCTTCTCTCTATAAAGACATCTGAAGCCATCTCTTCTCTCTAAAAGACATCCTGTAAACCATCTCTTCTCTATAAAGACAAAAGCCATCTCTTCTCTATAAAAAAAGCCATCTCTTCTTCTCTCTAAAAGACATCTGAAGCCATCTTCTCTCTATAAAAGACAACTATGAAGACATCTCTTCTCTCCTATAAAGACATCTATAAAGTCCATCTCTTCTTCTCTCCATAAAGACAACCATGAAGCCATCTCTTCTCTCTATAAAGACATCTATGAGCCATCTTCTTTCTCTATAAAGACATCTATGAAGCTATCTCTGCATAAAGACATCTATGAAGCCATCTCTTCTTAAAGACTCTATAAAGACATCTCTTCTCTATAAAGACATCTGAACCATCTCTCTATAAAGACAACTATGAAGCCATCTCTTCTCTCCCTAAAGAAACATCTGAAGCCATCTCTTCTCTCTATAAAGACAATCTAATAGACAACCATCTCTTCTCTCTATAAAGACATCTCTCTATAAAGACATCATCTCTTCTCTCTATAAAGACATCTATGAGTTTATCTCACTTCTCTATGAAGACATCTATGAAGCCATCTCTTCTCTCTATAAAGACATCTATGAAGCCATCTCATCTCTTCTCTCTATAAAAGACATCTATGAAGCCATCTCTTCTCTCTATAAAGACATCTATGAAGCCATCTCTTCTCTCTATAAAGACAACTATGAAGCTTACTCCTTCTCTCTATATAAACCCAGCCATCTCTCTTCTCTCTATAAAGACATCTATGAAGTTTCATCTCTTCTCTCAAAGACAAATATAAAGCCACTTTCTCTATAAAGACAACTAAGGCCATCTCTTCTCTAAAGACATCTGTAAGTATCTCTACTCTCTATAAAAGACATCTCATAGAAGCCATCTCTTCTCTCTATAAAGACATCTGTAAGCCATCTCTGCCCTCTCTATAAAGACAACTATGAGCCATCTCTTCTCTCATATAAAGACATCTAGAAGCCATCTTCTCTCTATAAAGACATCTATGAAGCCATCTCTTCTCTCTATAGCCCACATCTATGAGGCTATCATCTATAAAAGACAACTATGAAGCCATCTCTTCTCTCTATATAAAGACAACCATGAAGCCATCTCTTCTCTCTATAAAGACATCTATGAAGCCATCTCTTCTCTCTATAAAGACAACTATGGAAAGCCATCTCTTCTCTCTATAAAAAGACATCTCCATAAAATATATCTCTTCTCTCTATATAAAGACATCTATGAAGCCATCTCTTCTCTCTGTAAAGACAACTATGAAGCTTACCCTTTCCTCTAAAAAGACTCTATCTCTTCTCTAAAGACATCTGAAGCCATCTCTTCTCTCCATAAAGACATCTGAGCCATCTCTTTCTCTCTATAAAGACAACTATGAAGCTTCATCTCTTCTCTCTCTATAAAGACATCTAAGACATCTTCTCTATAAAGACATCATAGCCATCTCTTCTCTCTATAAAGACATCTATGAAGCCATCTTCTCTCTCCATAAAGACATCTATGAAGCCATCTCTTCTCTCTCTAAAGACATCTATGAAGCCATCTCTTCCTCTATAAAGACATCTATGAAGATCATCTCTTCTCTCTATAAAGACATCTATGAAGCCATCTCTTCTCTCTATAAAGACATCTATGAAGCCATCTCTTCTCTCTATAAAGACATCTATGAAGCCATATCTTCTATAAAGACATCTATGAAGCCATCTCTTCTCTCTATAAAGACAACTATGAAGCTATCTCTTTTCTCTATAAAGACAACTATGAAGCCATCCCCTTCTCTCTATAAAGACATCTATGAAGCCATCTCTTCTCTCTATAAAGACATCTATGAAGCATATCTTCTCTCTAAAGACATCTATGAAGCCATCTCTTCTCTCTATAAAGACATCTATGAAGCCATCTCTTCTCTCTATAAAGACATCTATGACCATCTCTTCTCTATAAAGACATCTATAAAGCCATCTCTTCTCTCTATAAAGACATCTATGAAGCCATCTCTTCTCTCCCATAAAGACAACTATAAAGCATCTCTTCTCTCTATAAAGAAACATCTCATCTCTTCTTTTGCTATAAAAGACATCTCTTTCATCTTCTCTATAAAGACATCTATGAAGCCATCTCTTCTCTATAAAGACATCTATGAAAACCATCTTCTCTCTATAAAGACATCTATGAAGCCATCTCTTCTCTCTATAAAGACAACTATGAAGCCATCTCTTCTCTATAAAAGACATCATGAAGCCATCTCTTCTCTCTATAAAGACAATCTGAAGCCATCTCTTCTCTCTATAAAGACATCTAGGAAGCCATCTCTTCTCTCTATAAAGACATCTATGAAGCCATCTCTTCTCTCTATAAAGACATCTATGAACCCATCTCTTCTCTCTATAAAGACAACTATGAAGCCATCTCTCTCTCTCTATGAAGCCAAAGACATCTATGAAAGCCATCTCTTCTCTCTATAAAGACATCTATGAAGCCATCTCTTCTCTCTATAAAGACATCTATGAAGCCATCTCTTCTCTATAAAGACATAAAACAATGGCCATCTCTTCTCTCTATAAAGACATCATGAAGCCATCTCTTCTCTCTATAAAGACAACCATGAAGCCATCTCTTCTCTCTATAAAAGACAGTCATCTCTTCTCTATAAATGAAGCCATCTCTTCTCTCTATAAAGACATCTATGAAGCCATCTCTTCTCTATAAAGACATCTATGAAGCCATCTCTTCTCTCTATAAAGACATCTATGAAGCTATCTCTTCTCTCTATAAAGACATCTATGAACACCATCTCTTCTATCTTCTCTATAAAGACATCTATGAAGCCATCTCTTCTCTCTATAAGAGCCATCTATAAAGACAACTATGAAGCCTCTTCTCTCTATAAAGACATCTATGAAGCCATCTTCTCTCTATAAAGACATCTATGTAAATATCTCTTCTCTCTATAAAGACATCTATGAAGCTATCTCATCTCTTCTCTCTATCTCTTCTCTCTATAAGACATCTATGAAGCCATCTTCTCTCTATAAAAAGACAACTATAGAAGCCATCTCTTCTCTATAAAGACAACCATGAAGCCATCTCTTCTCTCTATAAAGACAACTATGAAGCCATCTCTTCTCTCTATAAAGACATCTATGAAGCCATCTCTTCTCTCTATAAAGACAACTAGCCATATCCTTTCTCTATAAACCATGAAGCCATCTCTTCTCTCTATAAAGACAACTGCCATCTCTTCTCTATAGTTACATCTATGAAGCCATCTCTTCTCTCTATAAAGACATCTATGAAGCTATCTCTTCTCTATAAAGACATCTATGGAAGCCATCTCTCTTCTCTATAAAGACATCTATGAAGCCATCTCTTCTCTCTATAAAGACATCTATGAAGCCATCTCTTCTCTCTATAAAAGACATCTATGAAAAGCCATCTCTTCTCTCTATAAAGACAACTATGAAGCCATCTCTTCTCTCTATAAAGAACATCTCTTCTCCATAAACATCTATGAAGCCATCTCTTCTCTCTATAAAGACATCTGAAGCCATCTCTTCTCTCTATAAAGACATCTATAAAGCCATCTCTTTCTCTCTATAAAGACAACTATGAGCCATCTCTTCTCTCTATAAAGACATCTATGAAGCCATCTCTTCTCTCTATAAAGACATCTATGGAAACCATCTCTTCTCTCTATAAAGACAAATATGACATCTATAAAGGACATCTATGAAGCCATCTCTTCTCTCTATAAAGACATCTATGAAGCCATCTCTTCTCTCTATAGAGACATAAAGACAACTATGAAGACATCTCTTCTCTCCATAAAGACATCTATGAAGACATCTCTTCTAGACTCCATAAGCCACACATCTATGAAGCCATCTCTTCTCTCTATAAAAGACATCTATGAAGCCATCACTTCTCTCTATAAAGACATCTATAGAAACCATCTCTTTATAAAGACATCTAAGCCATCTCTTCTCTCTATAAAGAAAGCCATCTCTTCTCTCTATAAAAGACATCTCTATCTTCTCTCTATAAGACATCTATGAAGCCATCTCTTTCTCTATAAGACAACCATGAAGCCATCTCTTCTCTCTATAAAGACATCTATAAACCATCTCTTCTCTCCATAAAGACATCTATGAAGCCATCTCTTTCTCTCTATAAAGACATCTAGGAAGCCATCTCTTCTCTCTATAAAGACATCTATGAAGCCATCTCTTCTCTCTATAAAGACATCCATGAAGCCATCTCTTCTCTCTATAAAGACATCTATGAAGCCATCTCTTCTCTCTATAAAAAAGACAACTAAAAGACATGAAACCATCTCTTCTCTCTATAAAGACATCTATGAAGCCATCTCTTCTCTCTATAAAGACATCTATGAAGCCATCTCTTCTCTCTATAAAGACATCTATGAAGCCATCTCTTCTCTCTATAAAGACATCTGAAGCCATCTCTTCTCTCTATAATGACAACCACAACTATGAAGCCATCTCTTCTCTCTATAAAGACATCTATGAAGCCATCTCTTCTCTCTATAAAGACATCTCTTTCTCTCTATAAAGCCATCTCTTCTCTCTATAAAGACATCTATGAAGCCATCTCTTCTCTCTATAAAGACATCTATGAAGCCATCTCTTCTCTCTATAAAGACATCTATGAAGCCATCTCTTCTCTCTATAAAGACATCTATGAAGCCATCTCTTCACTCTATAAAGACAACTATGAAGCCATCTCTTCTCTCTATAAAGACATCTATGAACATCTGAAGCCATCTCTTCTCTCTATAAAGACATCTGAAGCCATCTCTTCTCTCTATAATGACATCTATAAAGCTATCTCTTCTCTCTATAAAGACATCTATGAAGCCATCTCTTCTCTATCTCATCTATCTCTATAAAGACATCTATGAAGCCATCTCTTCTCTCTATAAGACATCTATGAAGCCATCTCTTCTCTCTATAAAGACATCTATGAAGCCATCTCTTCTCTCTCTAAAGACATCTATGAAGCCATCTCTTCTCTCTATAAAGACATCTGTAAAGACATCTATGGAGGCATCTCTTCTCTCTTCTATAAAGACAACTATAAACCATCTCTTTCTCTCTATAAGACATCTATGAAGCCATCTCTTTCTCTATAAAGACAACTATAAACCATCTCTTCTCTCCATAAAGACATCTATGAAACCATCTCTTCTCTCTATAAAAGACAACTATGAAGCCATCTACCTCTCTATAAGACAACCAGAGCCATCCTCTTCTCTCTATGTAAAAGACATCCTATGAAAGCCATCTCTTCTCTCTATAAAGACATCCAAAACCATCACACTTCTCTCTATAAAGACATCTATGAACCATCTCTTCCTCTATAAAAACAACTATAAGCCATCTCTTCTCCTCTCTAAAAAGACATCTATGAAGCCATCTCTTCTCTCTATAAAGACATCTATGGAAGCCATCTCTTCTCTATAAGACATCTGTGAAGCCATCTCTTCACTCTATAAAGACAACTATGAAGCCATCCCTTCTCTCTATGAAGCTATGAAATACCATCTCTTCTCCTCTATAAAGACATCTGAAGCCATCTCTTCTCTCTATAAAGACATCTATGAACCATCTCTTCTCTCTATAGAACATCTATGAAGCCATCTCTTTATCATCTATGAACCATCTCTTCTCTCTATAAAGACATCTATGAGCCATCTCTTCTCTATAAAGACATCTATGAAGCCATCTCTTCTCTATAAACAACTATGAAGCCATCTCTTCTCTCTATGAAGCAAATAGCCATCTCTTCTCTATAAAGACATCTATGAAGCCATCTCTTCTCTCTATAAGAACAACTATGAAGCTCTCTTCTCCATCATCTTCTCTCTATAAAGACATCTGTGAAGCCATCTCTTCTCTCTATAAAGACATCACTTCTCTCTCTATAAGGAAGCCATCTCTTTCTCTATAAAGACATCTATGAAGCCATCTCTTCTCTCTATAAAGACACTTCCTATAAAGCCATCTCTTCTCTCTTATAAGACATCTATGAAGCCATCTCTTCTTCTCTCTATAAAGACATCTATGAAGCCATCTCTTCTCTATAAAAGACAACTATAGGCCATCTCTTCTCTCTATAAAGACATCTCTTCTCTCTATAAAGACAACTGTAAAAGCCATCTCTTCTCTCTATAAAGACATCTATGAAGCCATCTCTTTCTCTATAAGGAACATCTATGAGCCATATTCTCTCTATAAGGACAACTATGAAGCCATCTCTTCTCTCTATAGAACAACTATAGAGCATTCTTCTCTCTATAAAGACATCTATGAAGCCATCTCTCTCTCTCTATAAAGACATCTATGAAGCCATCTCTTCTCTCTATAAAGACATCCATGGAAGCCATCTCTTCTCTCTCTATAAAGACATCTATAAACCATCTCTTCTCTCTATAAAGACATCTGTGAAACCATCTCTTCTCTCTATAAAAGACATCTATGAAGCCATCTCTTCTCTCTATAAAGACATCTATGAAGCCATCTCTTCTCTCTATAAAAAAACTATAAGCCATCTCTTCTCTCTATAAAGACATCTATGAACCATCTCTTCTCTCTATATAAAGACATCTATGAAGCCATCTCTTCTCTCTATAAAGACATCTACATCTCTTCTCTATAAAGACATCTATGAAGCCATCTCTTCTCTCTATAAAGACATCTATCAAAGCCATCTCTTCTCTCTATAAAGACATCTATGAAGCCATCTCTTCTCTCTATAAAGACAACTATGAAGCCATCTCTTCTCTCTCTATAAAGACATCTATGAAGCCATCTCTTCTCTCTATAAAGACATCTATGAAGCCATCTCTTCTAAGACTCTATAGACATCTCACTCTCTATAAAGGTATCTATCTCATCTCTTCTCTCTATAAAGACATCTATGAACCATCTCTTTCTCTAGACACATCTATATGAAGACATCTCTTCTCTGTATAAAGACATCTATCATCTCTTCTCTCTATAAAGACATCTATGAAGCCATCTCTTCTCTCTATAAAAGACATCTATGAAGCCATCACTTCTCTATATAGACATCTATGAAGCCATCTCTTCTCTCTATAAAGACAACTATGAGCCATCTCTTCTCTCTCTATAAAGACATCTATGAAGCCATCTCTTCTCTCTATAAAGACATCTATGAAGCCATCTCTTCTCTCTATAAAGCACATCTATGAGCCATATCTCTTCTCTCTATAAAGACATATCATCTCTTCTCTCTAAAGACAACCTATGAAGCCATCTCTTCTCTCTATAAAGACATCTATGAAGCCATCTCTTCTCTCTATAAAGACGTCTATGAAGCCATCTCTTCTCTCTATAAAGACATCTATGAAGCCATCTCTTCTCTCTAAAAGACATCTATAAAAGCCATCTCTTCTCTCTATAAGCCACATCTTCTATCTATATAGACATCTATGAACATCTCTTCTCTCTATAAAGACATCTCATTCTTCTCTCTATAAAGACATCTATGAAGCCATCTCTTCTCTCTATAAAGACATCTATGAAGCCATCTCTTCTCTCTATATAGACATATCTATAAGACATCTCTTCTCTCTATAAAGACAACTATGACCATCTCTTCTCTCTATAAAGACAACTATGAAGCCATCTCTTCTCTATAAAGACATCTAAAGCCATCTCATCTCTATAAAGACAACTATGAAGCCATCTCTTCTCTCTATAAAGACATCACCATCTCTTCTCTAAAGACAACTATCTCTTCTCTCTCTCTAAAGACATCTGAAGCCATCTCTTCTCCATCTCTTCTCTCTATAAAGACAACTATGAAGCCATCTCTTAAAGACTCTCTATAATAAAGACATCTATAAGCCATCTCTTCTCTCTATAAAGACAACTATGAGCCATCTCTTCTCTCTATAAAAGACATCTATGAAGCCATCTCTTCTCTCTCTATAAAGACATCTATGGGCCATCTCTTCTCTCTATAAAGACAACTATGAAGCCATCTCTTCTCTCTATAAAGACATCTATGAAGCTTCATCTTCTCCTCTATAAAGACATCTATGAAGCCATCTCTTCTCTCTATAAACACATCTATGAAGCCATCTCTTCTCTCTATATAGACATCTATAAAGCCATCTCTTCTCTCTATAAAGACAACTATGAAGCCATCTCTTCTCTCTCATAAAGACATCTATGACCATCTCTTCTCTCTCTATAAAGACATCTATGAAGCCATCTCTTCTCTATAAAGAAAACTAGCAATGAATATCTTCTCCATAAAGACATCTATGAAGCCATCTCTTCTCTCTATAAAGACATCTATGAAGCCATTTTTTCATCTATAAAGACATCTATGAAGCCATCCCTTCTCTCTATAAAGACATCTATGAAGCCATCTCTTCTCTCTATAAAGACATCTATGAAGCCATCTTCTCTCTAAAGACATCTATGAAGCCATCTCTTCACTCTATAAAGACAACTATGAAGCCATCTCTTCTCTCTATAAAGACAACTATGAAGCCATCTTCTCTCTATAAAGACATCTATGAAGCCATCTCTTTCTCTCTATAAAGACATCTATGAAGCCATCTCTTCTCTCCATAAAGACATCTATGAAGACATCTCTTCTCTCCATAAAGACAACTATAAAGCCATCTCTTCTCCTCTATAAAAGACATCTATGAAGCCATCTCTTCTCTCTCTATATAGACAACCATGTTTTATCTTCTCTCTCTCTATAAGAACCAACTATGAAGCTTCATCTCTTCTCTCTTATAAAGACATCTATCTCTTCTCTCTATAAAGACATCTATGAAGCCATCTCTTTCTCTCTATAAAGACATCTATGAAGCCATCTCTTCTCGTCTATAAAGACATCTATGAAGCCATCTCTTCATCTATAAAGACATGAAGCCATCTCTCTATAAAGACATCTATAGCCATCTCTTCCTCCATAAAGACAACTATGAAGCCATCTCTTCTCTATAAAAGACATCTATGAGCCATCTCTTCTCTCTATAAAGACAACTATGAAACCATCTCTCTTCTCTATAAAGACATCTATAAAAGCCATCTCTTCTCTCTATAAAAGACAACTATGAAGACAATCCATCTCTTCTCTCTATAAAGACATCTATGCTTTCATCTCTTCTCTCTATAAAGACATCTATGAAGCCATCTCTTCTCTCCATAAAGACAACCATGAAGCCATCTCTTCTCTGTATAAAGACATCTATGAAGCCATCTCTTCTCTCTATAAAGACATCTATGAAGCCATCTCTTCTCTATAAGACATCTATGAATCCATCTCTTCTCTATAAAAACATCTATGAAGCCATCTCTTCTCTCTATAAAGACAACTATGAAGCCATCTCTTCTCTCCATAAAGACATCTATGAAGCCATCTTCTCTGTATAAAGACAAAGAGCCATCTCTTCTCTGTAAAGACATCTATGAAGCCATCTTCTCTCTATAAAGACATCTATCTTTCTCTCTATAAACAACATCTATGAAGCCATCTCTTCTCTCTATAAAGACATCTATGAAGCCATCTCTTCTCTATAAAGAGCATCTATGAAGCCATCTCTTCTCTCTCTATAAAGACAACTATGAAGCCATCTCTTCTCTCTATAAAGACATCTATGAAGCCATCTCTTTCTCTATAAAGACAACTATGAAGCCATCTCTTCTCTCTATAAAGACATCTATGAAGCCATCTCTTCTCTCTATAAAGACATCCATGAAGCCATCTCTTCTCTCTATAAAGACAACTATGAAGCCATCTCTTCTCTCTATAAAGACATCTATCTAAAGCCATCTCTTCTCTCTATAAAGACATCTATGAAGCCATATCTTCTCTCTATAAGACATCTATGAAACCATCTCTTCTCTCTATAAAGACATCTATAAAGCCATCTCTTCTCTCTATAAAGACATCTATGAAGCCATCTCTTCTCTCTATAAAGACATCTATGAAGCCATCTCTTCTCTCTATAAAGCCCATCTCTTCTCTCTATAAATACAACTATGAAGCCATCTCTTCTCTATAAAGACATCTATGAAGCCATCTCTTCTCTCTATAAAGACATCCTATGAAGCCATCTCTTCTCTCTATAAAGACATCTATGAAAGCCATCTCTTCTCTCTATAAAGACAACTATGAACCATCTCTTCTCTCTATAAAGACATCTATGAAGCCATCTCTTCTCTCTATAAAGACATCTGAAGCCATCTCTTCTGTATAAAGACATCTATGAAGCCATCTCTTCTCTCTATAAAGAAGACATCTGAAGCCATCTCTTCTCTCTATAAAGACATCTATGAAGCCATCTCTTCTCTCTATAAAGACATCTATGAAGCCATCTCTTCTCCCATAAAGACACCATGAAGCCATCTCTTCTCTATAAAGACATCTGGAAGCCATCTCTTCTCTCTATAAAGACAACTATGAAGCCATCTCTTCTCTCTATAAAGACATCTATGAAGCTATCTTCTTCTCTCTATAAAGACAACTATGAAGCCATCTCTTCTCTCTATAAAAGACAACCATGAAGCCCATCTCTTCTCTCTATAAAGACAACTATGAAGCCATCTCTTCTCTCTATAAAGACAACATGAAACCATCTCTTCTCTCTATAAAGACATCTATGAAGCCATCTCTTCTCTCTATAAAGACATCTATGAAGCCATCTCTAAAGACAACCCTCTCTTCTCTATAAAGACAACTATGAAGCCATCTCTTCTCTCTCTTCTCTCTATAGAGCATCTATGAAGCCATCTCTTCTCTCTATAAAGACATCTATGAAGCCATCTCTTCTCTATAAAGACATCTATAAAGTCTCATCTCTTCTCTATGCATCCCCTTAAGGCCATCTCTTCTCTCTCTATAAAGACATCTATGAAGCCATCTCTTCATCTATGAAGCTATCTCTTCTCTCTAAAAGACATCTATGAAGCCATCTCTTCTCATCTATGAAGACATCTAAAGAACAACTAAACCATCTCTTCTCTCTATAAAGACATCTATGAAGCCATCTCTTCTCTCTATAATAAAGACATCTAAAGCCATCTCTTCTCTCCTATAAAGCAACTATCATCTCTTCTCTCTATAAAGACAACCATGAAGCCATCTCTTCTCTCTATAAAGACAACTATGAAGCCATCTCTTCTCTGTAAAGACATAGGAAGCCATCTCTTCTCTCTATAAAGACAACTATGAAGCCATATCCTTTCTCTATAAACATCCATGAAGCCATCTCTTCTCTCTATAAAGACAACCATGAACCATCTTCTCTCTATAAAGACATCTATGAAGCCATCTCTTCTCTCTATAAAGACATCTATGAAGCTTTCATCTCTTCTCTATAAAAGACATCCAAGCCATCTCTTCTCTTTCTCTATAAGAAAATCCTGTAAGCCATCTCTTCTCTCTATAAAGACATCTATGAAGCCATCTCTTCTCTATAAAGAACATCTAAGCCATCTCTTCTCTCTATAAAGACATCTATGAAGCCATCTCTTCTCTCTATAAAGACAACTATGAAGCCATCTCTTCTCTCCTAAAGACATCTATGAAGCCATCTCTTCTCTCCTATAAAGACATCTGAAGCCATCTCTTCTCTCTATAAAGACAACTATGAAGCCATATCTTCTCTCTATAATGACATCTATGAAGCCATCTCTTCTCTCTATAAGACATCTATGAAAGCCATCTCTTCTCTCTATAAAGACAACTATGAAACCATCCTTCTCTCTCTATAAAGACATCTATGAAGCCATCTCTTCTCTCTATAAAGACATCTATGAAGCCATCTCTTCTCTCATAAAGACAATCTATGAAGACATCTCTTTCTCTCCATAAAAGCCATCTCTATAAAGGTCATCTCTTCTCTCTATAAAGTCATCTATGAAGCCATCTCTTCTCTCTATATAAAGACATCTCTTCTCTCTATGAAGCCATCTCTTCTCTCTATATAGACATCTATGAAGCCATCTCTTCTCTCTATAAAGACATCTATGAAGCCATCTCTTCTCTCCATAAAGACATCTATGAAGCCATCTCTTCTCTCCATAAAGACATCTATGAAGCAATCTCTTCTCTCTATAAAGACATCTATGAAGCCATCTCTCTTCTCTCTATAAATATACATCTATGAAGCCATCTCTTCTCTCTATAAAGACATCTATGAAACCATCTCTTCTCTCTATAAAGACAACTATGAAGCCATCTTCTCTATATAAAGACATCTATGAAGCCATCTCTTCTCTCTATAAAAGACCTTTATGAAGCCATCTCTTCTCTCTCTAAGACATCTATAACCTATGCCATCTCTTCTCTCTATAAAGACATCTATGAAGCCATCTCTTCTCTCTATAAAGACATCTCTAAGCCATCTCTTCTCTCTATAAAGACATCTTGAAGCCATCTCTTCTCTCTATAAAGACATCTATAAAGCCATCTCTTCTCTCTATAAAGACATCTATGAACCATCTCTTCTCTCTATAAAGACAAAGCATCTCTTCTCCATAAGACATCCATGAAGCCATCTCTTCTCTCTATAAAGACAAAAGACATCTATGAAGCCATCTCTTCTCTCTATAAAGACATCTATGAAGCCATCTCTTCTCTCTATAAAGACATCTATGAAGCCATCTCTTCTCTCTATAAAGAGCCATCTCTCTTCTCTCTATAAAGACAAACTATGAAGCCATCTCTTCTCTCTCTATAAGACATCTATGAAGCCATCTCTTCTCTCTATAAAGACATCTATGAAGCCATCTCTTCTCTCTATAAAGACAACTATGAAGCCATCTCTTCTCTGTATATAAAGACATCTATGAAGCCATCTCTTCTCTCTATAAAGACATCTATGAAGCCATCTCTTCTCTCTATAAAGACATCTATGAAGCCATCTCTTTCTCTATAAAGACAAAAATGACATCTCTTCTCTCTATAAAGACATCTATGAAGCCATCTCTTCTCTCTCTATAAAGACAACTATGAAGCCATCTCTCTCTCTCTATAAAAGACATCTATGAAGCCATCTCTCTCTATAAAGACTGAAGCCATCTCTTCTATAAAGACATCTATGAAGCCATCTCTTCTCTCTATAAAAGACATCTATGAAGCCATCTCTTCTCTCTAAAGACATCTATGAAGCCATCTCTTCTCTCTATAAAGACAACTATGAAGTCATCTCTTCTCTCTATAAAAGACACTATGAAGCCATCTCTTCTCTCTATAAAGACATCTGAAGCCATCTCTTCTCTCTATAAAGACATCTATGAAGCCATCTCTTCTCTCTATAAAGACATCTATGAAGCCATCTCTTCTCTCTATAAAGACATCTATGAAGCCATCTCTTCTCTCTATAAAGACATCTATGAAGCCATCTCTTTCTCTATAAAGACAACTATGAAGCCATCTCTTCTCTCTATAAAGACATCTATGAAGCCATCTCTTCTCTCTATAAATAAAGACATCTATGACATCCATCTCTTCTCTCTATAAAGACATCTATGAAGCCATCTCTTCTCTATAAAGACATCTATGAAGCCATCTCTTCTCTCTATAAAGACATCTATGAAGCCATCTCTTCTCTATAAAGACATCTATGAAGCCATCTCTTCTCTCTATAAAGACATCTATAATCTCTTTCTCTATAAACATCTATGAAGCCATCTCTTCTCTCTATAAAGAAGCCATCTCTTCTCTCTATAAAGACATCTATGAAGCCATCTCTTCTCTCTATAAAGACATCTATGAAGCCATCTCTTCTCTCTATAAAGACATCTATGAAGCCATCTCTTCTCTCTATAAAGACATCTATGAAGCCATCTCTTCTCTCTATAAAGACATCTAAGAAGCCATCTCTACTCTCTATAAAGACAACTATGAAGCCATCTCTTCTCTCTATAAAGTCATCTATGAAGCCATCTCTTCTCTCCATAAAGACAACCATGAAGCCATCTCTTCTCTCTATAAAGACATCTATGAAGCCATCTCTTCTCTGTATAAAGACATCTAGGAAGCCATCTCTTCTCTCTATAAAGACAACTATGAAGCCATCTCTTCTCTCTATAAAGACATCTATGAAGCTATCTCTTCTCTCTATAAAGACAACTATGAAGCCATCTCTTCTCTCTATAAAGACAACTATGAAGCCATCTCTTCTCTCTATAAAGACAACTATGAAGCCATCTCTTCTCTCTATAAAGACATCTATGAAGCCATCTCTTCTCTCTATAAAGACATCTATGAAGCTATCTCTTCTCTCTATAAAGACATCTATGAAGCCATCTCTTCTCTCTATAAAGACATCTATGAAGCCATCTCTTCTCTCTATAAAGACATCTATGAAGCCATCTCTTCTCTCTATAAAGACATCTATGAAGCCATCTCTTCTCTATAAAGACATCTATGAAGCCATCTCTTCTCTCTATAAAGACAACTATAAAGCCATCTCTTCTCTATAAAGACATCTATGAAGCCATCTCTTCTCTCTATAAAGACATCTATGAAGCCATCTCTTCTCTCTATAAAGACATCTATGAAGCCATCTCTTCTCTCTATAAAGACATCTATGAAGCCATCTCTTCTCTCTATAAAGACAACTATGAAGCCATCTCTTCTCTCTATAAAGACATCTATGAAGCCATCTCTTCTCTCTATAAAGACATCTATGAAGCCATCTCTTCTCTCTATAAAGACATCTATGAAGCCATCTCTTCTCTCTATAAAGACATCTATGAAGCCATCTCTTCTCTCTATAAAGACATCTATAAGCCATCTCTTCTCTCTATAAAGACAACTATGAAGCCATCTCTTCTCCATAAAGACATCATAAGCCATCTCTTCTCTCTATAAAAGACATCTAGCCATCTCTTCTCTCTATAAATACAATAAAGACATCTCTTCTCTCTATGAGCATCTGTAAAGCCATCTCTTCTCTCTATAAAGACATCTATGCCATCTCTTCTCTCTATAAGACATCTATGGCCATCTCTCTCTATAAAGACAACTATGAAGCCATCTCTTCTCTCTATAAAGACATCTATGAAGCCATCTCTTCTCTCTATAAAGACATCTATGAAGCCATCTCTTCTCTCTATAAAGACATCTATGAAGCCATCTCTTCTCTCTATAAAGACATCTATGAAGCCATCTCTTCTCTATAAAGACATCTATAAACCCATCTCATCTATAAAGACAACATAGCCATCTCTTCTCTCTATAAAGACATCTTCTCTTCTCTCTATAAAGACATCTATGAAGCCATCTCTTCTCTCTATAAAGACATCTATGAAGCCATCTCTTCTCTCTATAATAAAGACATCTAAGAAGCCATCTTCTCTCTATAAAGACATCTATGAAGCCATCTCTTCTCTCCATAAGACATCTATGAAGCCATCTCTTCTCCTGTATAAAGACATCTATGAAGCCATCTCTTCTCTCTATAAAGACATCTATGAAGCCATCTCTTCTCTCTATAAAGACAACTATGAAGCCATCTCTTCTCTCTAAAGACATCTATAAAGCCATCTCTCTCTTCTCTCTATAAAGACATCTATGAAGCCATCTCTTCTCTCTATAAAGACAACTATGAAGCCATCTCTTCTCTCTATAAAAGAAAGACATCTATATAAAGACAACATCTCTCTTCTCTCTATATAAAGACATCTATGAAGCCATCTCTTCTCTCTATAAAGACATCTATGAAGCCATCTCTTCTCTCTATAAAGACATCTATGAAGCCATCTTCTCTCTATAAAGACATCTATGAAGCCATCTCTTCTTCTCTCTATAAAGACAACTATGAAGCCATCTCTTCTCTCTATAAAGACATCTATGAAGCCATCTCTTCTCTCTATAAAGACATCTATGAAGCCATCTCTTCTCTCTATAAAGACATCTATGAAGCCATCTCTTCTCTCTATAAAGACATCTATGAAGCCATCTCTTCTCTCTATAAAGACATCTATGAAGCCATCTCTTCTCTCTATAAAGACAACTATGAAAGACATCATCTCTTCTCTCTATAAAGACATCTATGCCATCTCTTCTCTCTCTATAAGACATCTATCCATCTCTTCTCTCTATAAAGACATCTATAAGCCATCTCTTCTCTCTATAAAGACATCTATGAAGCCATCTCTTCTCTCTATAAAGACAACTATGAAGCCATCTCTTCTCTCTATAAAGACAACTATGAAGCCATCTCTTCTCTCCATAAAGACATCTATGAAGCCATCTCTTCTCTCTATAAAAGACATCTATGAAGCCATCTTCTCTCTATAAAGACATCATCTCTTCTCTCTATAAAGACATCTATGCAAGCCATCTCTTCTCTCTATAAAGACATCTATGAAGCCATCTCTTCTCTCTATAAAGACATCTATGAAGCCATCTCTTCTCTCTAAAAGACATCTATGAAGCCATCTCTATAAAGATATGAAGTCATCTCTTCTCTCTATAAAGACAACTATGAAGCCATCTCTTCTCTCTATAAAGACAATCTTCTTCTCTCTATAAAGACATCTATCTTCTCTCTATAAAGACATCTATGAAGCCATCTCTTCTCTCTATAAAGACATCTATGAAGCTATCTCTTCTCTCTATAAAGACATCTATGAAGCCATCTCTTCTCTCTATAAAGACATCTATGAAGCCATCTCTTCTCTCTATGAAGACAACTATGAAGCCATCTCTTCTCTCTATAAAGACAACCATGAAGCCATTCTTCTCTCTATAAAGACAACTATGAAGCCATCTCTTCTCTCTATAAAGACATCTATGAAGCCATCTCTTCTCTTTATAAAGACATCTATGAAGCCATCTCTTCTCTCTATGAAGACATCTATGAAGCCATCTCTTCTCTCTATAAAGACATCTATGAAGCTATCTCTTCTCTCTATAAAGACATCTATGAAGCCTATCTCTCTTCTCTCTATAAAGACATCTATGAAGCCATCTCTTCTCTCTATAAAGACATCTATGAAGCACATCTCTTCTCTCTATAAAGACATCTATGAAGCCATCTCTTCTCTCTATAAAGACATCTATGAAGCCATCTCTTCTCTCTATAAAGACAACTAATAAAGCCATCTCTTCTCTCCTCATTCTCTCTATAAAACATCTAGGAACATCTCTTCTCTCTATAAAGACAACCATGAAGCCATCTCTTCTCTCTATAAATACATCTATGAAGCCATCTCTTCTCTCTATAAAAGACAACTATGAAGCCATCTCTTCTCTCTATAAAGACATCTATGAAGCCATCTCTCTCTATAAAGACATCTATGAAGCCATCTCTTCTCTCTATAAAGACATCTATGAAGTCATCTCTTCTCTCTATAAAGACATCTAGCCATCTCTTCTCTCTATAAAGACATCTGAAGCCATCTCTTCTCTATAAAGACATCTATGAAGCCATCTCTTCTCTCTATAAAGACATCTATGAAGCCATCTCTTCTCTCTATAAAGACAACTATGAAGCCATCTCTTCTCTCTATAAAGACATCTATGAAGCCATCTCTTCTCTCTATAAAGACATCTATGAAGCCATCTCTTCTCTCTATAAAGACAACTATAAAGACATCTCTTCTCTCTAAAGACATCTATGAAGCCATCTCTTCTCTCTATAAAGACATCTATGAAGCCATCTCTTCTCTCTATAAAGACAACTATGAAGCCATCTCTTCTCTCTATCCATCTCTTCGCTCTATAAAGACATCTATGAAGCCATCTCTTCTCTCTATAAAGACATCTATGAAGCCATCTCTTCTCTCTATAAAGACAACTATGAAGCCATCTCTTCTCTATAAAGACAACTATGAAGCCATCTCTTCTCTCTATAAAGACATCCTATAGCCATCTCTCTTCTCTATAAAGACATCTATGAAGCCATCTTCTCTCTATAAAGACAACTATGAAGCCATCTCTTCTCTCTATAAGACAACTATGAAGCCATCTCTTCTCTCTATGAAGCCATCTCTTCTCTAAAAAGACAACTATGAAGCCATCTCTTCTCTTCTCTCAAATAAAGACAACTATAAAGCCATCTCTTCTCTCTATAAAAGACACAATCTCTTCTCTCTATAAAGACAACTATGAAGCCATCTCTTCTCTAAAAGACAACTATGAAGCAATCTCTTCTCTCTATGACCATGCAACCATGGCCATCTCTTCTCTCTATAAAGACAAACCATGAAGCCATCTCTTCTCTCTATAAAAGACAACTATGAAGCCATCTCTTCTCTATAAAGACAATAAAGATCTCTTCTCTCTATGAAGCCATCTCATCTCTTCTCTATAAAGACATCTATGAAGCCATCTCATCTATAAAGACAACTATTAAGCCATCTCTTCTCTCCATAAAGACATCTATGAAGCCATCTCTTCTCTCTATAAAGACATCTATGAAGCCATCTCTTCTCTCTATAAAGACATCTATGAAGCCATCTCTTCTCTCTATAAAGACAACTATGAAGCCATCTCTTCTCTCTATAAAGACATCTATGAAGCCATCTCTTCTCTCTATAAAAACATCTATGAAGCCATCTCTTCACTCTATAAAGACAACTATGAAGCCATCTCTTCTCTCTACTCACAGCTAAATTCTGGCTTCAAAAACGATTCAGCGTGGGGTTAGCAACTCACCCCCTTAAAAATCTACTTGCTGTTGAAAGTTGAAACAACTTTCGTGAGGACGCTGAGGCTCTATACAACACAGAGGAGTCTACAAGAGTTGACATACTTTTAGACAAAAATTGGGAATGTTTATTCAGTTATTTTCGGAAGAAAATTTACGACACCCTCGAGCTTATTAATTTGCCACTTTCCCCAAAGGTCAAACAGGAAACAGAAATTATTAAAAGTGCTTCAAGCTTTTATTTTCATACTTTTAGGATTGCATTGTTTCAAAAACAGTGTTTCATTTTTCTTTTTTCATTATTCCCAGAATTACCACGTCCTATTCTTTGATAAACAATGTTTAAAAAAACGTTTCTTTATTAAATTCTATATATTCTTAAGCGTTACATGATTTTGCAATACCGCCTTTTATTAAGACCCTAGATTTATTACATATTGTGCAAAATTACCCCCCACCCAATTATTAAGAGCCCCATCCATTGTATTAAGGAATTAAGGAATTAACTAGAAACAAATCAATTTCCGATATACTTCTTAAAGAAGGGTCGATAATCATTGGGGATGAGAAACTTCATCATCTTCTCATCATCTGTTCATTATCGTGTTTACGATTCCAATGTAATAAATTATAACCATGGAATATTAGTTACTCTGTCCTGGACATTGAGTTCTACCTAGATTCTATCCTCTTGAGATTTTTTATATATATATATATATATATATATATATATATATATATATATATATATATATATACATGAATTATTCACACAAAACTAATGCAAAGGTTAATGATTTTAAATCGCGAGACATCCATCTCGCAAACAATTCAAATATTACACAAAAACCTTAGATCCGTTATGAATGAATTGATCCTTGTTCATATAAATTTCTGCCGTATTAGTTGTTATTTTACACAAGCTTTCGTCTGTTCATACAGACATCTTCAGGTATATAATAGATGTTGTTTTTTCTCTTAGTAATAAGAGGACATCGAAAATATATGTGTATTGTATCCGAAATGCTATTGAAAATGAGATATTGGTTTTGAACGCGCCAAAGCAACGCTGAGTTTGATTTTAATTTCTTTTTTTAAAATGTTTGCGTTTATACCAAATATGGTAATGAACAAATTATTTTACTGGTAAATTTTACTGTCAAAGTGGCATGAACTATATTGTTCAATAATTACAGTAATGTCGCACTTATTAACCAAAAGTCGCACATGGATCACTTATTTAAATTACAATAAACGTGCAATCAATTTACAAATACATGAATTATTATGAATTTACCAGTAAAAATAATTCTTCTAATTGATATATAAAGATTCTCTAAATTTGATAACATTAAATAAGTGGGGATCAAACCACGTAAAAAATATTTTACTAAGATTTTCTAAAAAGAAATGTTAAAAAAATAAGTTTATTCATTTGTGAATAAATCCTGAAAGTTTCATTATAATCTAACAATTATCGGATTTTTACAAGAATTTCCAAATCATGTTTTCCACAGCAAAACGACGTTCAAATTTTTTTTTCTAATAGTGCTTTACTAATATCCCATACTAATTTATGATCCCACATTGACTCCAGAAAAACAAGATTTTTAACCCAAATTTCGAAGGTTCTAAATAGGATTAGAAAAAAATCATTTTTACCTAAAGAAATCCTTTCGTCTTTCCTCTTAATAATAGCGCAAAGATTTTGACGATAAAACTTTTTATGAAGTTTTTGTCAAATCTTTGGAGGTGTCCATAACTTTGTATTTTTAAGTATAACTTTATATATTTAAATATAACTTGTTTTTGAATTAACTTATCGTTAAACTTAAAAATTTTTATTTATTTATTTCATTTTTATTCCTAAATGTATAATTTATTTTATATTTTTATTTCTAAATATTTTTTATTCTTTAATATAATCAATTGATTTTATATTAAATATAAACTTTTTTTAAATATAATTTTACTAAATTTTAAATTATCTAAATATGACATATTTTAATTTATTTAAATATATCTTATTTTTAAATATAACTTGTCTTTGGAAGAGTACTTTTAAGTAAGATTTTGTATTTTTAAACATAACTTTATCTAATTTAAGGTTTTTAAAAAACTCTTTTTATTCCTCTCTCAGTTTCAAATTAACATTTCATTCTTCATATAACCTCAGTTTAATGTCATGAGGTTTTAATTTTATAAACCCTCTTCTCTTTAAGACGAATACCTTTCACCCTTCCCTGACCACCGACTCGTGCTGTTCGTCTGACTGAAACGTTGAAATGGATAAATTCTGTATTACATTTTCCATTTTTTTTTTTTTTTTAGCTTTCGCTGTTAAATTTCTATTTCAAACGTGAACTCAGTCTATACCGGGTTTGATAAGAGAGATGAATTATATTTTCGTCTGTCATGAATTTTTAAAGCATTCTGAATGTAAAAATAAAGAAAAAAGTGTGCAAGACAATAAGAAACACTACATGCCAAAAAAAAAGTGAAATCGGTTGAAAAATGTAGGTAGCCTTTCTGTAATCTTTTAGTTTTACAATTTATGATTTTTACTTATTGAATACAGTAAAAAAAATTGCATATTTTGCTTGTGGTGATTCATAATTAGAATTCTGATTTGAATATATTTTCCACTCGTTGTTTCTAATACAAAAATATTAACTTTATTTGGGTTTATTAATTATGATCTAACAAATCTTATTCATTTAGTAGCCTTTCTGTAATAATAATCTTTTTACAATTTATGATTTTTACTTATTGAATACAGTAAAAAATTGGACACCATGTGTATTTAAAGTAGTTTCCCGTTCCGGTTATTATTTTTAGTTAGGACTTGTGTATGTTTAGATTTCATTATCTTTCCTAAAGATAAAGAATTTATCCGATGTTTGTATTCGTACAATCAGTAGAGATCGTTAGATTATTGTTTAAGGTTGACGGACACGCATGTTTTAATTATTTTTTTTTTTTTTTTTACGAATTGGTCAAACCCAAACTCAAACAAAAACATTGTTTTCAATCGTTATGAGTCTCCCGATAGAATAGAATTTTATTATAAATAATTGTCTTGTAAATGGAATTTTTAAAGCATTCTGAATGTTAAAAATAAAGAAAAAAGTGTGCAAGAGTATAAGAAACACTACCTGCCAAAAAAAAAGTGAAGTTTTGTTTTATCGGCTGAAAAATATAGGAAATCCGCTCCCATATTTAAAGGAACCCACACACACAAACAACCCGATGTGAGTTGTCCCCTTCCATTTTCACGATGTCTCTTAATCATGTTTTCAAATCGATTTTTGTAAAAAACAATTATGTTTTTCCCATTTTTGGCGCTGTTAGAACCACCACAAGGTAATTTTATGTAGTCCTGTGAAGTTTTGTTGAAATCGGTTGAAAAATGTAGGAAATCCGATCCAATATATAACAGACACAGACACACACACACACACACACACACAATCTGCGTTTTATAATAAGTAAGATAGATAGATAGATAGATAGATAGATAGATAGATAGATAGATAGATAGATAGATAATTATAATTATTATTATTATTATATGTTATTATTACCTTAGACTTCTCCGTCGCAAAGGGCACACCGGATAAGATGTCGATTTCCCGTACAAAGGATGACGCATGTCCGTACCCAGCTGGATTGCACATTTTCTTTAAGTCTTTCCAATGCGTAGGCCGGTAGAAATTCACAATGTTTCAAATCGAATCAAACTGGCGCGGCTACTCAGACATGAGTATCTACAAAAATAACTTTTATTAATATTGTCGAATTAAAAATGAAAATAAAACCAAGTAATTCCTTATATATAAGAAAGAAAGAAAAAAAGAGATGTATTTATCTAGACAGAAAAAATAGAAAAGAAAGTATACACGCTAACATACATATGAACAAGCCTTTGAAAAGAAAGAAAGAAAAAAAGAAATAATTTTAAAGAAAGAAAAGAAAGAGTTTGAAAAGAAAGAAAGAAAGAAAGAAAGACTGAGAGAAGGGTTTGAAAAGAAAGAAAGAAGAGTTTAAAAGAGAGAGAAAAAAAGAGAGGAAAGAAAGAAATAAGAAAGAAGAATTTAAAAAGAAAGAAAACTTTACAAAGAAAGACAGAAAGAAAGAGAGAAAAGTTTGAAAAGAAAGAAAGAATTTGAAGAGAGAAAGAAAGAGAGAAGAGTCTGAAGAAAGAAAGAAAGAAAGAAAGAAAGAAAGAAAGAAAGAAAGAAAGAAAGAAGTGTTTGAAAAGAAAGAAAGAAAGAAAGAAAGAAAGAAGGCCAGGAGAGAAGAGAGTAATTTAGGCACACACGCACATATAAATAATATATATATATATATATATATATATATATATAAGGAAAGACTAAGAAGACATAGGTAAGTATACGCACACACACCCCTACACGCGTGCAAATATGCACACACTTTCACTTACATATACACAAACGTTTTTGCCGCTTTCCCTTTACTCATTCTCATCTTTGCGGCGCAAATCTTGTTTATCCTCAGAAGAGGTCATCGGGTGCACTGACCGATAATCAAGACAACAACAACATCACACTACTTGGGCGCTTTGTCATGTTTTTAATACTCAGCCACCTGGAATTTTACATCATTAATAATGAGTTCAATCCTCACCGGGTGCACGATACACGTGGCTCTGTGCCAAAACAAAGCTCCGCGTAGTAAATAACAACATCAGACCACATATTACTCACTCATTTATCTCTACGACATTTACTTCTGTGTGTTTCGTCCGGCACGTAGAAGAACAGGCTCGTATAAATGGATGGCAAAAAGACGAAAGTTATTAAGAGCTACAAAGGACAGGAAATTGTGGAGAGTCACGATCAACGAGAAATAACTTCCTGATGGGACATAAAAAAGAAAAACGAAGAGTGAGATTAAGCGTTTCCATACAGGAAACGTTCAGCATCTGCTGACTGAACAGTTGGTGTTATTTTCGGTTAAATTTTATAAGATATTTCATTTAAAATAGTTTTTCAGGGAAATAGATTCCTCAAGTCGACTGTTATCGTTCTTTCTAGCATTTATTAGGGTTTCAGGGAAATAGATTCCTCACGGCCAATAATATCGCTCTTTCTAGCATTCATCAGGGTTTCAGGGAAATAGATTCCTCACGGCCAATATTATCTCTCATTCTAGCATTCATCAGGGTTTCAGAGAAATAGATTCCGCAAGTCGACTGTTATCGTTCTTTCTAGCATTCATTAGGGTTTCAGGAAATAGATTCCTCACGGCCAATAATATCGCTCTTTCTAGCATTCATCAGGGTTTCAGGAAATAGATTTCTCACGGCCAATATTATCTCTCATTCTAGCATTCATCAGGGTTTCAGAGAAATAGATTCCGCAAGTCGACTGTTATCGTTCTTTCTAGCATTCATTAGGGTTTCAGGGAAATAGATTCCTCACGGCCAATAATATCGCTCTTTCTAGCATTCATCAGGGTTTCAGGGAAATAGATTCCTCACGGCCAATATTATCTCTCATTCTAGCATTCATCAGGGTTTCAGAGAAATAGATTCCGCAAGTCGACTGTTATCGTTCTTTCTAGCATTCATTAGGGTTTCAGGGAAATAGATTCCTCACGGCAAATATTATCTCTCTTTCTAGCATTCATCAGGGTTTCAGGGAAATAGATTCCGCAAGTCGACTGTTATCGTTCTTTCTAGCATTCATTAGGGTTTCAGGGAAATAGATTCCTCACGGCAAATATTATCTCTCTTTCTAGCATTCATCAGGGTTTCAGGGAAATAGATTCCGCAAGTCGACTGTTATCGTTCTTTCTAGCATTCATTAGGGTTTCAGGGAAATAGATTCCTCACGGCAAATATTATCTCTCTTTCTAGCATTCATCAGGGATTCAGGGAAATAGATTCCGCAAGTCGACTGTTATCGCTCTTTCTAGCATTCATCAGGGTTTCAGGGAAATAGATTCCTCACGGCCAATATTATCTCTCATTCAAGCATTCATCAGGGTTTCAGAGAAATAGATTCCGCAAGTCGACTGTTATCGTTCTTTATAGCATTTATTAGGGTTTCAGGGAAATAGATTCCTCACGGCCAATAATATCGCTCTTTCTAGCATTCATCAGGGTTTCAGGGAAATAGATTCCTCACGGCCAATATTATCTCTCATTCTAGCATTCATCAGGGTTTCAGAGAAATAGATTCCGCAAGTCGACTGTTATCGTTCTTTCTAGCATTCATTAGGGTTTCAGGGAAATAGATTCCTCACGGCCAATAATATCGCTCTTTCTAGCATTCATCAGGGTTTCAGGGAAATAGATTTCTCACGGCCAATATTATCTCTCATTCTAGCATTCATCAGGGTTTCAGAGAAATAGATTCCGCAAGTCGACTGTTATCGTTCTTTCTAGCATTCATTAGGGTTTCAGGGAAATAGATTCCTCACGGCCAATAATATCGCTCTTTCTAGCATTCATTAGGGTTTCAGGGAAATAGATTCCTCACGGCCAATAATATCGCTCTTTCTAGCATTCATCAGGGTTTCAGGGAAATAGATTCCTCACGGCCAATATTATCTCTCATTCTAGCATTCATCAGGGTTTCAGAGAAATAGATTCCGCAAGTCGACTGTTATCGTTCTTTCTAGCATTCATTCAGGTTTTTCAGGAAATAGATTCTCACGGCAAATATTATCTCTCATTCTAGCATTCATCAGGGTTTCAGGGAAATAGATTCCGCAAGTCGACTGTTATCGTTCTTTCTAGCATTCATTAGGGTTTCAGGGAAATAGATTCCTCACGGCAAATATTATCTCTCTTTCTAGCATTCATCAGGGTTTCAGGGAAATAGATTCCGCAAGTCGACTGTTATCGTTCTTTCTAGCATTCATTAGGGGTTTCAGGGAAATAGATTCTCACGGCAAATATTATCTCTCTTTCTAGCATTCATCAGGGTTTCAGGGAAATAGATTCCGCAAGTCGACTGTTATCGTTCTTTCTAGCATTCATTAGGGTTTCAGGAAATAGATTCCTCACGGCAAATATTATCTCTCATTCAAGCATTCATCGGGTTTCAGGGAAATAGATTCCGCAAGTCGACTGTTATCGTTCTTTCTAGCATTTATCAGGGTTTCAGGGAAATAGATTCCTCACGGCCAATAATATCGCTCTTTCTAGCATTCATCAGGGTTTCATTCAAGCATTCATTCAGGGTTTCAGAGAAATAGATTCCGCAAGTCGACTGTTATCGTTCTTTCTAGCATTTATTAGGGTTTCAGGGAAATAGATTCCTCACGGCCAATAATATCGCTCTTTCTAGCATTCATCAGGGTTTCAGGGAAATAGATTCCTCACGGCCAATATTATCTCTCATTCTAGCATTCATCAGGGTTTCAGAGAAATAGATTCCGCAAGTCGACTGTTATCGTTCTTTCTAGCATTCATTAGGGTTCAGGAAATAGATTCCTCACGGAAATATCGCTCTTTCTAGAGGGTTTCAGGGAAATAGATTCTCACGGCCAATAATATCGCTCTTTCTAGCATTCATCAGGGTTTCAGGGAAATAGATTCCTCACGGCCAATATTATCTCTCATTCTAGCATTCATCAGGGTTTCAGAGAAATAGATTCCGCAAGTCGACTGTTATCGTTCTTTTTCTAGCATTCATTAGGGTTTCAGGGAAATAGATTCCTCACGGCCAATAATATCGCTCTTTCTAGCATTCATTAGGGTTTCAGGGAAATAGATTCCTCAAGTCGACTGTTATCGTTCTTTCTAGCATTCATCAGGGTTTCAGGAAATAGATTCCTCACGGCCAATATTATCTCTCATTCTAGCATTCATCAGGGTTTCAGAGAAATAGATTCCGCAAGTCGACTGTTATCGTTCTTTTCTAGCATTCATTAGGGTTTAGGGAAATAGATTTCAGGGAAATAGATTCATCAGGGATTCAGAAATAGATTCCGCAAGTATCTCTCTTTCTAGCATTCATCAGGGTTTCAGGGGATTTCACGGGAAATTAGATTCATCAGGGTTTCAGAGAAATAGATTCGACTGTTATCGTTCTTTCTAGCATTCATTAGGGTTTCAGGGAAATAGATTCCTCACGGCCAATAATATCGCTCTTTCTAGCATTCATCAGGGTTTCCTAATAGATTCTCAGCCAATATTATCTCATCATTCATCAGGGTTTCAGGAAATAGATTCCGCAAGTCGACTGTTATCGTTCTTTCTAGCATTCATTAGGGTTTCAGGGAAATAGATTCCTCACGGCCAATAATATCGCTCTTTTCTAGCATTCATCGGTTTCAGGAAATATTTCTCACGGCCAATATTATCTCTCATTCTAGCATTTCAGGGTTTCAGAGAAATAGATTAGCATTCATCGTTCTTTCTAGCATTCATTAGGGTTTCAGGAAATAGATTCCTCAAGTCGACTGTTATCGTTCTTTCTAGCATTCATTAGGGTTTCAGGGGAAATATCGCTTCTTTCTAGCATTCATCAGGGTTTCACGGCAAATATTATCTCATTCTAGCATTCATCAGGGTTTCAGGGAAATAGATTCCGCAAGTCGACTGTCGTTCTTTCTAGCATTCATTAGGTTTCAGGGAAATAGATTCCTCTTTATCTCTCTTTCTAGCATTCATCAGGGTTTCAGGGAAATAGATTCCGCAAGTCGACTGTTATCGTTCTTTCTAGCATTCATTAGGGTTTCAGGGAAATAGATTCCTCACGGCAAATTCATCTCCTCATTCATTCATCAGGGTTTCAGAGAAATCGACTGTTATCGTTCTTTCTAGCATTCATTGGGGGTTTCAGGGTTAGATTCCTAGCAAATTTATCTCTCTTTTAGCATTCATCAGGGTTTCAGGGAAATAGATTCCGCAAGTCGACTGTTATCGTTCTTTCTAGCATTCATTAGGTTTCGGGGGAAATAGATTCTCACGCAAATATTATCTCTCTTTCTAGCATTCATCAGTGATTCAGGGAAATAGATTCCGCAATCGACTGCTCTTTCTTTCTAGCATTCATCAGGGTTTCAGGGAAATAGATTCCTCACGGCCAATATTATCTCTCATTCAAGCATTCATCAGGGTTTCAGAGAAATAGATTCCGCAAGTCGACTGTTATCGTTCTTTCTAGCATTTATTAGGGTTTCAGGGAAATAGATTTCTCACGGCCAATAATATCGCTCTTTCTAGCATTCATCAGGGTTTCAGGAAATAGAGGGAAATAGATTCTCTCATCGGCCAATATTATCTCTCATTCTAGCATTCATCAGGGTTTCAGAGAAATAGATTCCGCAAGTCGACTGTTATATCGTTCTTTCTAGCATTCATTAGGGTTTCAGGGAAATAGATTTCTCACGGCCAATATTATCTCTCATTCTAGCATTCATCAGGGTTCAGAGAAATAGATTCCGCAAGTCGACTGTTATCGTTCTTTCTAGCATTCATTAGGGTTTCAGGAAATAGATTCCTCACGGCCAATAATATCGCTCTTTCTAGCATTCATTGGGGTTTCAGGA